GCTTTGCTATGCTTTGCTGAAAGGGTGTAACCTTGAAACTTCAAAATTTGTATTGCGTCCTGGTGTTTGTTTTTTCCCCAAAAAAATATAGAAGATGTAATCTGTTCAAAAGTTGGGTGTCCAAAAGCAGCATACAAACGTACATTTGAGTAAGGAGTTTACATTTTTTTGGGGTTGTTTGGTGACCTTGTAGTACTTGTAGGACTTGTAGTACTGCCAGTACTTGTTCTACTTGTTGTACTTGCTGTTAGTTTTCCCCAGTAAGCAATATTTGTCCAGAAAAAGTGGTCAGCATACCGGACCAAGGCAACTACACATGTACTGTAAATAGTTTTGTTATGTTTAGCCACAACAGCGAACCCAGCTACACACCAGCATCCAGCATTATTAACATGTTTTTTCCCAGCTGTTGACGTGCATCTTATTTGCCGACTTGCACCTTCAGCCAATTTGAGGCAAGGAGCATGGTGGCGATGGCAACAACAACACTTCCGAGTGCTTACTTCTCTTCGCCTTCTCCCAAGGTATCCAGAACGGCATCACCCGAAGATGCCAGACCCTGCCAATTTGCACCACCCATTTCACCGGCTACTTGACGGACGTTGGCACCTTGCTCGGCTGGTGCGCCCGTGATGGTGTGGCAGGTGAGAAGTTCTTGAAGGCCCGGGCTGTGCTTTTTCAAAAAACAAGAAAGAGGGATAAACCATGCAAAGCAGTTTTCTTCCACGCTTTCCTGAGCACAGAATTGCGGTTTTACCAGCTGTTCTGCTGGGCCACAAGAATCAGCAACCACCAGACCACCCGCCTTTGGAAGGCAATGCTCTTTGCGGCGGGCATCTTCTTCTTCGGCCTGGGCGGCGTGGCTGCCAAGGAGTTGCACGAATCGTTCAGCGTGCAGGCAGCCCTCATCGCAGCTGCCCTGATGGCCGCTGTCGCGGGTGGCCTAGTCCCTGTGACCAAGAGCAAGACCGGCTGAAGGGCCAAGGTGTGAAGATTTCTGCACGCTGTAGTCAGTACTAATTAGGTGATTAACCTTTAGTAAATCAGACGTTTCTTTGAGCTTTTAAGGGTTACCTTGACCATCAAAGTACCATGTACCCACAAAAATAGGAAAAATGAAGCAAGATGAGATGGGGAAAGTGTGAAGAAGGCACTGGGTTGATGACGATTTTAGATGGGTAACTTGAAGGTCTAGGTTTTTTTCCCATATTCAAAAAGGTGTGAGGCACAAACCCTCTCACCACGCTTTCTGGAAAACTGTGGGCTTTGGATCCTTGCAGACCAGAGGGCACCGAAGGCGTTCACGCTTTCAAGACTCAGCTTTTGCGAGCAAAAAGAGAGGGATCTAATCTAAACCATTCAGTGTGCCCTTTTCATTGAAGAAACAAGGGCATTTTGCTGCCTTTGCCTCTAATGGGCTTTTGACCAAGTGACATTTGGATTGGAAGCATGTTGTAAACGGGGCTGCTTGGGTTACAGTACTTGTTCATGTCATGTCAACTGGCAACTTGAGGGTCCTGGGCCTGCACAGTTCAATTGGCAGGCCCTTTTAAGCTCATCGATTTTGAGTGCTCTTCTTCCCCGCCAGTTCTGACATCGACGCCATGGCATTCACTCAGAAGTCCCGTGGCCGTGGCATTCGCGGAGCTTTGCTGGTGGCCATGTGCTTGTGCAGCCTTTGGACACTTTGTCTTGTGATGATTGTGATTGGTCGGTCAGTAGTTTCCCCATGAATCATTTCAGCACATGTCTGTGTTTATTTTGATTTTTAAAGAAAGGGAGAGAAAGAGAGACTGGCGGAGAGACTGATACTGTTTTCCGCCATTGCCAAATTTGACGATCATTTGCATTCTCTTGCGCGTGAGTGGATTTGACTTTCTTGCAAAAAGTCTCCAGTTTGTGACTGTTCATTGAACAGGGGAGCGTGTGCAAAGTCAACATCTTGACATATTTTCAGCTGATCTTACTTTCCTTGACTGAATCATCTCCAGGAAGCTTTGGAATTTTGAAAGGAAGTTACCATATGACACGGGGAAACCCTTCGGACCCAGAAGACTAAATCTGTTTAAATTTGCACAACTTCAAGGAGCTTGACTTCCCGCACCTTCACCCAGACAGAGGAGGTCACTGAGGACGCCTCGGGTCTTGTGACTTGGCTTGGTCCAGCTGGTGATGTTCAAAGCCTTGTCTATCTTATCTGGGATATGACACAGGGATGCTGAGTTTGTGATCTGGGAAGACAACAAGTGATTGGTGGCCTGAAGGAAAACAGAAGAAAAACAGCAGCTTTTTTACCGTCAACAAGGGGGTTCTTATGGTTCCCCTGGCATGCTCTTGCCCACTTGCGGGAACTTACTAATTCCATCTAATTCCATATGTTGCTTCGTTTGCAAGTGCCAACGCCATATTTGTTGTAACCTCGGTTGTCCGTTGGATAGGGTAAGAATGCAACGCATGAAGGCCAGGGTATTCTGAATCTTCGTTTTTTGCTTGGCCCTTGACCCACGCCAGGGTGTCCAAACCATCCATCTACCAGTGGTTGTTCTCGATGCAGTTCGTAAGCCCATGTTCTTCACCACCATACGTGCGGATGTCTTAGCTCGTTTTCCATGTTTTGTTTCTGAAGGAACCTTTTTAATACTAAAGCGAATCGAATCCATTGTTTGCCCTGTTTTTTTGGAGGCTCCATTTTGCACATGCCCCAACCAAAACAAAAACAGATTACAACATTTGAGGTGAAGCTGGTGGGCGGACACCCGCTGATCTTCACCTTCCTTTCCATGGCTTTGTGCGGTGCCGTGTGCTACACAGAGAACTCCACCACTGCCAAGCTGGACTTCGACAAACGTCACCGAGATTGGATAACTTATTCCCACTGTTTTTTCCCGCACGGTCACAGCCCCGAAATTAGTTTGCAGTGGTTTGGTTTTTAGTTGGCCTTAGCCTATGCATTTGGTTTCGTTGTGATTTTCCAGGGAGATCTCACCCATGAACGAAACTATAACATGACATGACATGACATAACCACAAACCTATAGAGGTGACTATTTCACTTTTCAGCTGATCCAGAACATCTTGTGCTTCGCTTCCGGCCTCATCAACGCCTTGTGCATCTTTGACATGGGCATGACAGTCAGCCACCAGAGTGGCAACACCAGTCACACCGGCCGTTTGATCATGATACCTGGAGTTGCCCAGCTTCTGGCTTGTTTTTTTTCAAAAAAATCCGTAGCCAACCCACCTACGTAAGAAGTTATCAGAAACTTTTCATGTTTTGAGGAACCTCGTGCGCAAAGCCGCAGGAAGCTGGTACCGCTTTGGATTCCCAAGGTGCTTTTGAAAAGTTTGAGTCCACATGTCTGGTGTTCAGTCATCTTCACCCTGGCCTTGAAGGTATATGACTAGAATCAAGAAGCCAGCAGGTAGTGATTGGTTGATCCAAGGAACGGCGGCGCCGCGTTCGGACACCTGTTGCTCGCCTTCTGCTTCGGCTCCTTCTTCGCGGGCTACAGCAAGGTGGATACTGAGCTGATCTACTCAGGACGCTACTCTCCCAACCTCTTGGCGGCGGCCCTGGCCGTTGTGGCCGGATGCATGGTGCACTACTGCAACTGGGCTGATTTAGCTTTGCTGTGCTTTGCTGAAAGGGTGTAACCTTGAAACTCCAAAATTAAACTCCGAAAATTAGTAGTAGTGCATCCTGATTTGTGTGCATCCCCCAAAACAAAATATTATACTCTCTTCAAAGCTGGTTGTCCAAAAGCAGTTTTTGAGTAAGGGTTTTTCTTGGCGGCAATTGAAAACTAATTTGTCTTCTTTTCGGTTGGCTGGTGAGCTTGTAGGACTTGTAGGACTTGTAGTACTGCTAGTATTTGTAGTTCTTATAGTTAACTCACCCAAGTAAGCAAGATATTTTCAGAAAAATGGTCTGCATACGGGACCGAGGCAACTACACGTGTATTGTAAATAGTTTGGAGATTTCTAGCCAGAATAGCGAACCCAGCTATTAATCAGCACCCAACATTATTAACATTATATGGTTTTTATCCAGCTGTTGGCGTGCATTTTTTTTGCCGACTTGCACCTTCAGCCAATCCTAGGCAAGGAGCATGGCGGCGATGGCAACAACAACACTTCCGAGTGCTTGCTGCTCTTCGCCTTCTCTCAAGGTATTCAGAACGGCATCACCCGAAGATGCCAGACCCTGCCCATTTGCACCACCCATTTCACTGGCTACTTGACGGACGTTGGCACCTTGCTCGGCTGGTGCGCCCGTGATGGTGTGGCAGGTGAGAAGTTCTTGAAGGCTTGGGGGCTAAGATCCGAGATAGTTGTAATTGTTCGATTCACAAAATTCACTGCGCAAGATATGTTTGGTCGCCCAAATCCCAGAGAACCCGGGGACCACCCGCCTTTTCTGTGCAAGGCCATGCTCTTTGCGGCGGGCATCTTCTTCTTCGGGCTCGGCGGCGTGGCTGCCAAGGAGTTGCACGAATCGTTCAGCATGCAGGCAGCCCTCATCGCAGCTGCGCTGATGGCCGCTGTCGCGGGTGGCTTGGTCCCTGTGACCAAGAGCAAGACCGGCTGAAGGGCCAAGGTGTGAAGATTTCTGCATGCTGTAGTCAGTAATAATTAGGTGATTAGCCCTTTGTCGTTCGGACGTTTCTTTGAGCTTTTAAGGGTTACCTTGACCATCAAAGTACCATGTACCCACAGAAAATAGGAAAAATGAAGCAAGATGAGATGGGGAAAGTGTGAAGAAGGCGCTGGGTTGATGACGATTTTAGATGGGTAACTTGAAGGTCTAGGTTTTTTTCCCATATTCAAAAAGGTGTGAGGCACAAACCCTCTCACCACGCTTTCTGGAAAACTGTGGGCTTTGGATCCTTGCAGACCAGAGGGCACCGAAGGCGTTCACGCTTTCAAGACTCAGCTTTTGCGAGCAAAAAGAGAGGGATCTAATCTAAACCATTCAGTGTGCCCTTTTCATTGAAGAAACAAGGGCGTTTTGCTGCCTTTGCCTCTGATGGGCTTTTGACCAAGTGACATTTGGATTGGAAGCATGTTGTATACGGGACTGCTTGGGTTACAGTACTTGTTCATGTCATGTCAACTGGCAACTTGAGGGTCCTGGGCCTGCACAGTTCAATTGGCAGGCCCTTTTAAGCTTATCGATTTTGAGTGCCCTTCTTCCGCGCCAGTTCTGACATCGACGCCATGGCATTCACTCAGAAGTCCCGTGGCCGTGGCATTCGCGGAGCTTTGCTGGTGGCCATGTGCTTGTGCAGCCTTTGGACACTTTGTCTTGTGATGATTGTGATGGGTCGGTGATTCAGTAGTTTTCCCATGAATTTGTGTTTATTTTAATTTGTAAAGAGAGAGAGAGAGATATATATATATAGAGTTTTTTTTACGCCATTGCCAAATTTGACGATCATTTGCATTCTCTTGCGCGTGAGTGGATGTGACTTTCTTGCAAAAGGTCTCCAGTTTGTGACTGTTCATTGAACAGGGGAGCGTGTGCAAAGTCAACATCTTGACATATTTTCAGCTGATCTTACTTTCCTTGACTGAATCATCTCCAGGAAGCTTTGGAATTTTGAAAGGAAGTTACCATATGACACGGGGAAACCCTTCGGACCCAGAAGACTAAATCTGCTTAAATTTGCACAACTTCAAGGAGCTTGACTTCCCGCACCTTCACCCAGACGGAGGAGGTCACTGAGGACGCCTCGGGTCTTGTGACTTGGCTTGGTCCAGCTGGTGATGTTCAAAGCCTTGTCTATCTTATCTGGGATATGACACAGGCATGCTGAGTTTGTGATCTGGGAAGACAACAAGTGATTGATGGCCTGAAGGAAAACAGAAGAAAAACAGCAGCTTTTTTACCGTCAACAAGGGGGTTCTTATGGTTCCCCTGGCATGCTCTTGCCCACTTGCGGGAACTTACTAATTCCATCTAATTCCATATGTTGCTTCGTTTGCAAGTGCCAACGCCGTATTTGTTGTAACCTCGGTTGTTCGTTGGATAGGGTGAGGATGCAACGCATGAAGGCCAGGGTATTCTGAATCTTCGTTTTTTTGCTTGGCCCTTGACCCACGCCAGGGTGTCCAAACAATCCATCTACCAGTGGTTGTTCTCGATGCAGTTAGTAAGCCCGTGTTCTTCACCACCATACATGCGGATGTCTTAGCCCGTTTTCCATGTTTTGTTTCTGAAGGAACTTTTTACTTTTTAGATCTTTTTAGTACTAAAGCGAATCCGTTGTTTGACCTGTTTTTTTGGAGGCCCCATTTTGCACATGCCCCAGCCAAAACAAAAACAGATTACAACATTTGAGGTGAAGCTGGTGGGCGGACACCCGCTGATCTTCACCTTCCTTTCCATGGCTTTGTGCGGTGCCCTGTGCTACACAGAGAACTCCACCACTGCCAAGCTGGACTTCGACAAACGTCACTGAGATTGGATAACTTATTCCCACTGTTTTTTCCCGCACGGTCAGAGCCCCGAAATTAGTTTGCAGTGGTTTGGTTTTTAGTTGGCCTTAGCCTATGCATTTGGTTTTGTTGTGATTTTCCAGGGAGATCTCACCCATGAACGAAACTATAACATGACATGACATGACATAACCACAAACCTATTGAGGTGACTATTTCACTTTTCAGCTGATCCAGAACATCTTGTGCTTCGCTTCCGGCCTCATCAACGCCTTGTGCATCTTTGACATGGGCATGACAGTCAGCCACCAGAGTGGCAACACCAGTCACACCGGCCGTTTGATCATGATACCTGGAGTTGCCCAGCTGCTGGTTTGTTTTCCTTAAATCCGTAGGCAATCCACCTACGTAAGAAGTTATCAGAAACTTTTCATGTTTTGAGGAACCTCGTGCGCAGAGCCGCAGGAAGCTGGTACCGCTTTGGATTCGCTTTGGATACCCAAGGTGCTTTTGAAAAGTTTGAGTCCACATGTCTGGTGTTCAGTCATCTTCACCCTGGCCTTGAAGGTATATGACTAGAATCAAGAAGCCAGCAGGTAGTGATTGGTTGATCCAAGGAACGGCGGCGCCGCGTTCGGACACCTGTTGCTCGCCTTCTGCTTCGGCTCCTTCTTCGCGGGCTACAGCAAGGCGGATACTGAGCTGATCTACTCAGGACGCTACTCTCCCAACCTCTTGGCGGCGGCCCTGGCCGTTGTGGCCGGATGCATGGTGCACTACTGCAACTGGGCTGATTTAGGTTTGCTATGCTTTGCTGAAAGGGTGTAACCTTGAAACTCCAAAATTAAACTCCGAAAATTAGTAGTAGTGCGTCCTGATTTGTGTGCATCCCCCAAAACAAAATATTATATATACTCTCTTCAAAGCTGGTTGTCCAAAAGCAGTTTGAGTAAGGGTTTTTCCTTGGCAGCAATTGAAAACTAATTTGTTTTCTTTTCGGTTGGCTGGTGAGCTTGTAGGACTTGTAGGACCTGTAGTACTGCTAGTATTTGTAATGCTTGTCAGTTAATTCACCCAAGTAAGCAAGATATTCAGAAAAAAAATGGTCTGCATACGGGACCAAGGCAGCTACACGTGTATTGTAAATAGTTTGGAGATTTCTAGCCACAATAGCGAGCCCAGCTACTAATCAGCATCCAACATTATTAACATTATGGTGTTTATCCAGCTGTTGGCGTGCATCTTTTTGCCGACTTGCACCTTCAGCCAATCCTAGGCAAGGAGCATGGCGGCGATGGCAACAACAACACTTCCGAGTGCTTGCTGCTCTTCGCCTTCTCTCAGGGCATTCAGAACGGCATCACCCGAAGATGCCAGACCCTGCCAATTTGCACCACCCATTTCACCGGCTACTTGACGGACGTTGGCACCTTGCTCGGCTGGTGCGCCCGTGATGGTGTGGCAGGTGAGAAGTTCTTGAAGGCTTGGGGGCTAAGATCCGAGATAGTTGTAATTGTTCAATTCACAAAATTCACTGTGTAAGATATGTTTGGCCGCCCAAATCCCACAGAACCCGGGGACCACCCGCCTTTTCTGTGCAAGGCCATGCTCTTTGCGGCGGGCATCTTCTTCTTCGGGCTCGGCGGCGTGGCTGCCAAGGAGTTGCACGAATCGTTCAGCATGCAGGCAGCCCTCATCGCAGCTGCGCTGATGGCCGCTGTCGCGGGTGGCTTGGTCCCTGTGACCAAGAGCAAGACCGGCTGAAGGGCCAAGGTGTGAAGATTTCTGCATGCTGTAGTCAGTAATAATTAGGTGATTAGCCCTTTGTCGTTCGGACGTTTCTTTGAGCTTTTAAGGGTTACCTTGACCATCAAAGTACCATGTACCCACAGAAAATAGGAAAAATGAAGCAAGATGAGATGGGGAAAGTGTGAAGAAGGCGCAGGGTTGATGACGATTTTAGATGGGTAACTTGAAGGTCTAGGTGTTTTTCCATATTCAAAAAGGTGTGAGGCACAAACCCTCTCACCACGCTTTCTGGGCAACTGTGGGCTTTGGATCCTTGCAAACCAGAGGGCGCCGAAGGCGTTCACGCTTTCAAGACTCAGCTTCTGCGAGCAAAAAGAGAGGGATCTAATCCAAACCATTCAGTATGCCTTTTCATTGAAGAAACAAGGGCATTTTGCCGCCTTTGCCTCTCATGGGCTTTTGACCAAGTGACATTTGGGATTGGAAGCATGTTGTAAACTGGGCTGCTTGGGTTTACAATACTTGTTCACGTCATGTCAACTGGCAACTTGAGGGTCCTGGGCCTGGACAGTTCAATTGGCAGGCCCTTTTAAGCTCATCGATTTTGAGTGCCCTTCTTCCGCGCCAGTTCTGACATCGACGCCATGGCATTCACTCAGAAGTCCCGTGGCCGTGGCGTTCGCGGAGCTTTGCTGGTGGCCATGTGCTTATGCAGCCTTTGGACACTTTGTCTTGTGATGATTGTGATGGGTCGGTGATTCAGTAGTTTTCCCATGAATTTGTGTTTATTTTAATTTGTAAAGAGGGAGAGGGAGAGAGAGAGAGAGAGAGAGATGGAGAGGGAGAGGGAGAGGGAGAGGGAGAGGGAGAGAGAGAGAGAGAGATAGATAGATAGGTAGATAGATAGATAGATAGATAGAGATATATATATATATATTTATATCATTTTATATATATAGTATATGGAGTTTTTTTTAACGCCATTGCCAAATTTGACGATCGTTTGCGTTGTCTTGCGCACGAGTGGATTTGACTTTCTCGCAGAGGTCTCCAGTTTGTGACTGTCATTGAACAGGGGAGCGTGTGCAAAGTCAACATCTTGGCATATTTTCAGCTGATCTTACTTTCCTTGACTGAATCATCTCCAGGAAGCTTTGAAATTTTGAAAGGAAGTTACCATATGACACGGGGAAACCCTTCGGACCCAGAAGACTAAATCTGTTTAAATTTGCACAACTTCAAGGAGCTTGACTTCCCGCACCTTCACCCAGACGGAGGAGGTCACTGAGGACGCCTCGGGTCTTGTGACTTGGCTTGGTCCAGCTGGTGATGTTCAAAGCCTTGTCTATCTTATCTGGGATATGACACAGGCATGCTGAGTTTGTGATCTGGGAAGACAACAAGCGATTGGTGGCCTGAAGGAAAACAGAAGAAAAACAGCAGCTTTTTTACCGTCAACAAGGGGGTTCTTATGGTTCCCCTGGCATGCTCTTGCCCACTCGCGGGAACTTACTAATTCCATCTAATTCCATATGTTGCTTCGTTTGCAAGTGCCAACGCCATATTTGTTGTAACCTCGGTTGTCCGTTGGATAGGGTAAGAATGCAACGCATGAGGGCGAGGGTATTCTGAATCTTCGTTTTTTTGCTTGGCCCTTGACCCACGCCAGGGTGTCCAAACCATCCATCTACCACTGGTTGTTCTCGATGCAGTTAGTAAGCCCATGTTCTTCACCACCATACGTGCGGATGTCTTAGCTCGTTTTCCATGTTTTGTTTCTGAAGGAACTTTTTAATACTAAAGAGAATCTGTTGCTAACCTGTTTTGCCACCCCCTGCTGTGGCGCCCGGCGGCTTTGGAGCCCCGCCATGCCTCAGCCAAAACCTCTCTTCGGTCCTTTGCTCCTACACCTCCTCTCCACCCCTCCTCCTTCACCTCCAAACCTCATCAGATCATCGTCTCATTATCAACGTGTTTTTATCATCATCATCATCACCATCGTCATCACATCAGTTTTTCATTTTTAGCATCAACCCATCATCATTTGGTGTTGTGTGATTCATCCCCCTCATCCCATCCCGAAATATATCATCATCACATCATCATCAACATAACATCAAATTATCACCACATCATCACATTCACCATCATCATCACATCATCATCACTTCCTTCCATTATCAACGCCCCCTCCTCCTCCTCATCATCATCATCATCAGTTTCCACCTTGGCTTGCCAGGCTACCGAGTCCCTTAGGCCATACCTGGGCAGTCTTTTGCTGGATTTTTTTATTTGTATCCGTAGGCAATCCACCTACGTAAGAAGTTATCAGAAACTTTTCATGTTTTGAGGAACCTCGTGCGCAGAGCCGCAGGAAGCTGGTACCGCTTTGGATTCGCTTTGGATTCCCAAGGTGCTTTTGAAAAGTTTGAGTCCACATGTCTGGTGTTCAGTCATCTTCACCCTGGCCTTGAAGGTATATGACTAGAATCAAGAAGCCAGCAGGTAGTGATTGGTTGATCCAAGGAACGGCGGCGCCGCGTTCGGACACCTGTTGCTCGCCTTCTGCTTCGGCTCCTTCTTCGTGGGCCTCAGCAAGGCGGATACTGAGCTGATCTACTCAGGACGCTACTCTCCCAACCTCTTGGCGGCGGCCCTGGCCGTTGTGGCCGGATGCATGGTGCACTACTGCAACTGGGCTGATTTAGCTTTGCTATGCTTTGCTGAAAGGGTGTAACCTTGAAACTCCAAAATTAAACTCCGAAAATTAGTAGTAGTGCGTCCTGATTTGTGTGCATCCCCCAAAACAAAATATTATATATACTCTCTTCAAAGCTGGTTGTCCAAAAGCAGTTTGAGTAAGGGCTTTTCCTTGGCAGCAATTGAAAACTAATTTGTCTTCTTTTCGGTTGGCTGGTGAGCTTGTAGGACTTGTAGGACTTGTAGTACTGCTAGTATTTGCAGTGCTTGTAGTTAATTCACCCGAGTAAGCATGATATTTTCAGAAAAAATGGTCTGCATACGGGACCAAGGCAACTACACGTGTATTGTAAAGAGTTTGGAGATTTCTAGCCACAATAGCGAACCCAGCTACTAATCAGCATCCAACAAAATTATGGCATATGGTTTTTATCCAGCTGTTGGCGTGCATCTTTTTGCCGACTTGCACCTTCAGCCAATCCTAGGCAAGGAGCATGGCTGCGATGGCAACAACAACACTTCCGAGTGCTTGCTGCTCTTCGCCTTCTCTCAGGGTATCCAGAATGGCATCACCCGAAGATGCCAGACCCTGCCAATTTGCACCACCCATTTCACCGGCTACTGTGACGGACGCTTGGCACCTTGCTCGGCTGGTGCGCCCGTGATGGTGTGGCAGGTGAGAAGTTCTTGAAGGCTTGGGGGCTAAGATCCGAGATAGTTGTAATTGTTCGATTCACAAAATTCACTGCGCAAGATATGTTTGGTCGCCCAAATCCCAGAGAACCCGGGGACCACCCGCCTTTTCTGTGCAAGGCCATGCTCTTTGCGGCGGGCATCTTCTTCTTCGGGCTCGGCGGCGTGGCTGCCAAGGAGTTGCACGAATCGTTCAGCGTGCAGGCAGCCCTCATCGCAGCTGCGCTGATGGCCGCTGTCGCGGGTGGCCTAGTCCCTGTGACCAAGAGCAAGACCGGCTGAAGGGCCAAGGTGTGAAGATTTCTGCATGCTGTAGTCAGTAATAATTAGGTGATTAGCCGTTTGTCGTTCGGACGTTTCTTTGAGCTTTTAAGGGTTACCTTGACCATCAAAGTACCATGTACCCACAGAAAATAGGAAAAATGAAGCAAGATGAGATGGGGAAAGTGTGAAGAAGGCGCTGGGTTGATGACGATTTTAGATGGGTAACTTGAAGGTCTAGGTTTTTTTCCATATTCAAAAAGGTGTGAGGCACAAACCCTCTCACCACGCTTTCTGGGCAACTGTGGGCTTTGGATCCTTGCAGACCAGAGGGCGCCAAAGGCGTTCACGCTTTCAAGACTCAGCTTCTGCGAGCAAAAAGAGAGGGATCTAATCTAAACCATTCAGTATGCCTTTTCATTGAAGAAACAAGGGCATTTTGCTGCCTTTGCCTCTGATGGGCTTTTGACCAAGTGACATTTGGATTGGAAGCGTGTTGTAAACTGGGCTGCTTGGGTTACAATACTTGTTCATGTCATGTCAACTGGCAACTTGAGGGTCCTGGGCCTGGACAGTTCAATTGGCAGGCCCTTTTAAGCTCATCGATTTTGAGGGCCCTTCTTCCGCGCCAGTTCTGACATCGACGCCATGGCATTCAAACAGAAGTCCCGTGGCCGTGGCATTCGCGGAGCTTTGCTGGTGGCCATGTGCTTGTGCAGCCATTGGACACTTTGTCTTGTGATGATTGTGATGGGTCGGTGATTCAGTAGTTTTCCCATGAAATTGTGTTTATTTTAATTTGTAAAGCGGGAGAGGGAGGGAGGGAGAGAGAGAGAGAGAGCACTTTATATATATATATATATTTATATAGTATATATATATATATAGTATATAGAGTTTTGAAAGGAAGTTACCATATGATCGGGGAATCCCTTCGGACCCCGAAGACTAACAAACACTTCAAGGAGCTTGACTTCCCGCACCTTCACCCAGACGGAGGAGGTCCTGAGGACGCCTCGGGTCTTGTGACTTGGCTTGGTCCAGCTGGTGATGTTCAAAGCCTTGTCTATCTTATACGTAATCTGGGAAGACAACAAGTTATCTGAATCTTCGACCCACGCTTTTCATGTTTTGAGCAGTTAACCCATGTCGTGTCTTAGCCCGCAAAGCCTAAAGAGAATCAGTTTTTTTGGAGGCCCCATTTTGCACATGCTGGTACTGCTTTGGATTCCCACTTCGACAAACGGTTGGATAACTTATTCCCACTGTTTTTTCCCGAAAGCCCCGTTAGTTTGAGTCCAGGGAGATCTCACCCATCGAAACTATAACATGGTGTTATAGAGGTGACTATTTCACTTTTCAGCTGATCCAGAACATCTTTGAAACGCCTTGTGCATCTTTGACATGGGCATGAAGTCAAGAGTGGCAACACCAGTCACACCGGCCGTAGTGATTGGTTGATCCAAGGAACGGCGGCGCCGCGTTCGGACACCTGTTGCTCGCCTTCTGCTTCGGCTCCTTCTTCGCGGGCTACAGCAAGGCGGATACTGAGCTGATCTACTCAGGACGCTACTCTCCCAACCTCTTGGCGGCGGCCCTGGCCGTTGTGGCCGGATGCATGGTGCACTACTGCAACTGGGCTGATTTAGCTTTGCTATGCTTTGCTGAAAGGGTGTAACCTTGAAACTCCAAAAGTAAACTCCGAAAATTAGTAGTGCGTCCTGGTTTGTGTGCATCCCCCAAAACAAAATATTATACTCTCTTCAAAGCTGGTTGTCCAAAAGCAGTTTGAGTAAGGGTTTTTCCTTGGCGGCAATTGAAAACTAATTTGTCTTCTTTTCGGTTGGCTGGCGAGCTTGTAGGACTTGTAGGACTTGTAGGACTTGTAGGACTTGTAGGACTTGTAGTACTGCTAGTATTTGCAGTGCTTGTAGTTAATTCACCCGAGTAAGCAAGATATTTTCAGAAAAAATGGTCTGCATACGGGACCAAGGCAACTACACGTGTATTGTAAAGAGTTTGGAGATTTCTAGCCACAATAGCGAACCCAGCTACTAATCAGCATCCAACAAAATTATGGCATATGGTTTTTATCCAGCTGTTGGCGTGCATCTTTTTGCCGACTTGCACCTTCAGCCAATCCTAGGCAAGGAGCATGGCGGCGATGGCAACAACAACACTTCCGAGTGCTTGCTGCTCTTCGCCTTCTCTCAGGGTATCCAGAATGGCATCACCCGACGATGCCAGACCCTGCCAATTTGCACCACCCATTTCACCGGCTACTTGACGGACGTTGGCACCTTGCTCGGCTGGTGCGCCCGTGATGGTGTGGCAGGTGAGAAGTTCTTGAAGGCTTGGGGGCTAAGATCCGAGATAGTTGTAATTGTTCGATTCACAAAATTCACTGCGCAAGATATGTTTGGCCACCCAATTCCCAGAGAACCCGGGGACCACCCGCCTTTTCTGCGCAAGGCCATGCTCTTTGCGGCGGGCATCTTCTTCTTCGGGCTCGGCGGCGTGGCTGCCAAGGAGTTGCACGAATCGTTCAGCGTGCAGGCAGCCCTCATCGCAGCTGCGCTGATGGCCGCTGTCGCGGGTGGCCTAGTCCCTGTGACCAAGAGCAAGACCGGCTGAAGGGCCAGGGTGTGAAGATTTCTGCACGCTGTAGTCAGTACTAATTAGGTGATTAACCTTTAGTCAATCAGACGTTTCTTTGAGCTTTTAAGGGTTACCTTGACCATCAAAGTACCATGTACCCACAAAAAATAGGAAAAATAAAGCAAGATGAGATGGGGAAAGTGTGAAGAAGGCACTGGGTTGATGACGATTTTAGATGGGTAACTTGAAGGTCTAGGTTTTTTTTTCCATATTCAAAAAGGTGTGAGGCACAAACCCTCCCACCACGCTTTCTGGAAAACTGTGGGCTTTGGATCCTTGCAGACCAGAGGGCACCGAAGGCGTTCACGCTTTCAAGACTCAGCTTTTGCGAGCAAAAAGAGAGGGATCTAATCTAAACCATTCAGTGTGCCCTTTTCATTGAAGAAACAAGGGCATTTGCCGCCTTTGCCTCTAATGGGCTCTTGACCAAGTGACATTTGGATTGGAAGCATGTTGTAAACTGGGCTGCTTGGGTTACAGTCCTTGTTCATGTCATGTCAACTGGCAACTTGAGGGCCCTAGGCCTGGACAGTTCAATTGGCAGGCCCTTTTAAGCTTATCGATTTTGAGTGCCCTTCTTCCGCGCCAGTTCTGACATCGACGCCATGGCATTCACTCAGAAGTCCCGTGGCCGTGGCATTCGCGGAGCTTTGCTGGTGGCCATGTGCTTGTGCAGCCTTTGGACACTTTGTCTTGTGATGATTGTGATGGTCGGTGTAGTTCAGTAGTTTTCCCATGAATTGTGTTTATTTTAATTTGTAAAGAGAGAGAGAGATATATATATAGAGTTTTTTTTACGCCATTGCCAAATTTGACGATCATTTGCATTCTCTTGCGCGTGAGTGGATGTGACTTTCTTGCAAAAGGTCTCCAGTTTGTGACTGCTTATTCAACAGGGGAGTGTGTGCAAAATCAACGTCTTGACATATTTTCAGCTGATCTTACTTTCCTTGACTGAATCATCTCCAGGAAGCTTTGGAATTTTGAAAGGAAGTTACCATATGACACGGGGAAACCCTTCGGACCCAGAAGACTAAATCTGTTTAAATTTGCACAACTTCAAGGAGCTTGACTTCCCGCACCTTCACCCAGACGGAGGAGGTCACTGAGGACGCCTCGGGTCTTGTGACTTGGCTTGGTCCAGCTGGTGATGTTCAAAGCCTTGTCTATCTTATCTGGGATATGACACAGGCATGCTGAGTTTGTGATCTGGGAAGACAACAAGTGATTGGTGGCCTGAAGGAAAACAGAAGAAAAACAGCAGCTTTTTGACCGTCAACAAGGGGGTTCTTATGGTTCCCCTGGCATGCTCTTGCCCACTTGCGGGAACTTACTAATTCCATCTAATTCCATATGTTGCTTCGTTTGCAAGTGCCAACGCCATATTTGTTGTAACCTCGGTTGTCCGTTGGATAGGGTAAGAATGCAACGCATGAAGGCCAGGGTATTCTGAATCTTCGTTTTTTGCTTGGCCCTTGACCCACGCCAGGGTGTCCAAACCATCCATCTACCAGTGGTTGTTCTCGATGCAGTTCGTAAGCCCATGTTCTTCACCACCATACGTGCGGATGTCTTAGCTCGTTTTCCATGTTTTGTTTCTGAAGGAACCTTTTTAATACTAAAGCGAATCGAATCCATTGTTTGCCCTGTTTTTTTGGAGGCTCCATTTTGCACATGCCCCAACCAAAACAAAAACAGATTACAACATTTGAGGTGAAGCTGGTGGGCGGACACCCGCTGATCTTCACCTTCCTTTCCATGGCTTTGTGCGGTGCCGTGTGCTACACAGAGAACTCCACCACTGCCAAGCTGGACTTCGACAAACGTCACCGAGATTGGATAACTTATTCCCACTGTTTTTTCCCGCACGGTCACAGCCCCGAAATTAGTTTGCAGTGGTTTGGTTTTTAGTTGGCCTTAGCCTATGCATTTGGTTTCGTTGTGATTTTCCAGGGAGATCTCACCCATGAACGAAACTATAACATGACATGACATGACATAACCACAAACCTATAGAGGTGACTATTTCACTTTTCAGCTGATCCAGAACATCTTGTGCTTCGCTTCCGGCCTCATCAACGCCTTGTGCATCTTTGACATGGGCATGACAGTCAGCCACCAGAGTGGCAACACCAGTCACACCGGCCGTTTGATCATGATACCTGGAGTTGCCCAGCTGCTGGTTTGTTTTCCTTGAATCCGTAGGCAATCCACCTACGTAAGAAGTTATCAGAAACTTTTCATGTTTTGAGGAACCTCGTGCGCAAAGCCGCAGGAAGCTGGTACCGCTTTGGATTCCCAAGGTGCTTTTGAAAAGTTTGAGTCCACATGTCTGGTGTTCAGTCATCTTCACCCTGGCCTTGAAGGTATATGACTAGAATCAAGAAGCCAGCAGGTAGTGATTGGTTGATCCAAGGAACGGCGGCGCCGCGTTCGGACACCTGTTGCTCGCCTTCTGCTTCGGCTCCTTCTTCGCGGGCCTCAGCAAGGCGGATACTGAGCTGATCTACTCAGGACGCTACTCTCCCAACCTCTTGGCGGCGGCCCTGGCCGTTGTGGCCGGATGCATGGTGCACTACTGCAACTGGGCTGATTTAGCTTTGCTATGCTTTGCTGAAAGGGTGTAACCTTGAAACTCCAAAATTAAACTCCGAAAATTAGTAGTAGTGCGTCCTGATTTGTGTGCATCCCCCGAAACAAAATATTATACTCTCTTCAAAGCTGGTTGTCCAAAAGCAGTTTGAGTAAGGGTTTTTCTTGGCGGCAATTGAAAACTAATTTGTCTTCTTTTCGGTTGGCTGGTGAGCTTGTAGGACTTGTAGGACTTGTAGGACTTGTAGTACTGCTAGTATTTGCAGTGCTTGTAGTTAATTCACCCGAGTAAGCAAGATATTTTCAGAAAAAATGGTCTGCATACGGGACCAAGGCAACTACACGTGTATTGTAAAGAGTTTGGAGATTTCTAGCCACAATAGCGAACCCAGCTACTAATCAGCATCCAACAAAATTATGGCATATGGTTTTTATCCAGCTGTTGGCGTGCATCTTTTTGCCGACTTGCACCTTCAGCCAATCCTAGGCAAGGAGCATGGCTGCGATGGCAACAACAACACTTCCGAGTGCTTGCTGCTCTTCGCCTTCTCTCAGGGTATCCAGAATGGCATCACCCGAAGATGCCAGACCCTGCCAATTTGCACCACCCATTTCACCGGCTACTTGACGGACGTTGGCACCTTGCTCGGCTGGTGCGCCCGTGATGGTGTGGCAGGTGAGAAGTTCTTGAAGGCCCGGGCTGTGCTTTTTCAAAAAACAAGAAAGAGGGATAAACCATGCAAAGCAGTTTTCTTCCACGCTTTCCTGAGCACAGAATTGCGGTTTTACCAGCTGTTCTGCTGGGCCACAAGAATCAGCAACCACCAGACCACCCGCCTTTGGAAGGCAATGCTCTTTGCGGCGGGCATCTTCTTCTTCGGCCTGGGCGGCGTGGCTGCCAAGGAGTTGCACGAATCGTTCAGCGTGCAGGCAGCCCTCATCGCAGCTGCCCTGATGGCCGCTGTCGCGGGTGGCCTAGTCCCTGTGACCAAGAGCAAGACCGGCTGAAGGGCCAAGGTGTGAAGATTTCTGCACGCTGTAGTCAGTACTAATTAGGTGATTAACCTTTAGTAAATCAGACGTTTCTTTGAGCTTTTAAGGGTTACCTTGACCATCAAAGTACCATGTACCCACAAAAATAGGAAAAATGAAGCAAGATGAGATGGGGAAAGTGTGAAGAAGGCACTGGGTTGATGACGATTTTAGATGGGTAACTTGAAGGTCTAGGTTTTTTTCCCATATTCAAAAAGGTGTGAGGCACAAACCCTCTCACCACGCTTTCTGGAAAACTGTGGGCTTTGGATCCTTGCAGACCAGAGGGCACCGAAGGCGTTCACGCTTTCAAGACTCAGCTTTTGCGAGCAAAAAGAGAGGGATCTAATCTAAACCATTCAGTGTGCCCTTTTCATTGAAGAAACAAGGGCATTTGCCGCCTTTGCCTCTAATGGGCTCTTGACCAAGTGACATTTGGATTGGAAGCATGTTGTAAACTGGGCTGCTTGGGTTACAGTCCTTGTTCATGTCATGTCAACTGGCAACTTGAGGGCCCTAGGCCTGGACAGTTCAATTGGCAGGCCCTTTTAAGCTTATCGATTTTGAGTGCCCTTCTTCCGCGCCAGTTCTGACATCGACGCCATGGCATTCACTCAGAAGTCCCGTGGCCGTGGCATTCGCGGAGCTTTGCTGGTGGCCATGTGCTTGTGCAGCCTTTGGACACTTTGTCTTGTGATGATTGTGATGGGTCGGTGATTCAGTAGTTTTCCCATGAATTTGTGTTTATTTTAATTTGTAAAGAGAGAGAGAGATATATATATAGAGTTTTTTTTACGCCATTGCCAAATTTGACGATCATTTGCATTCTCTTGCGCGTGAGTGGATGTGACTTTCTTGCAAAAGGTCTCCAGTTTGTGACTGCTTATTCAACAGGGGAGTGTGTGCAAAATCAACGTCTTGACATATTTTCAGCTGATCTTACTTTCCTTGACTGAATCATCTCCAGGAAGCTTTGGAATTTTGAAAGGAAGTTACCATATGACACGGGGAAACCCTTCGGACCCAGAAGACTAAATCTGTTTAAATTTGCACAACTTCAAGGAGCTTGACTTCCCGCACCTTCACCCAGACGGAGGAGGTCACTGAGGACGCCTCGGGTCTTGTGACTTGGCTTGGTCCAGCTGGTGATGTTCAAAGCCTTGTCTATCTTATCTGGGATATGACACAGGCATGCTGAGTTTGTGATCTGGGAAGACAACAAGTGATTGGTGGCCTGAAGGAAAACAGAAGAAAAACAGCAGCTTTTTGACCGTCAACAAGGGGGTTCTTATGGTTCCCCTGGCATGCTCTTGCCCACTTGCGGGAACTTACTAATTCCATCTAATTCCATATGTTGCTTCATTTGCAAGTGCCAACGCCGTATTTGTTGTAACCTCGGTTGTTCGTTGGATAGGGTGAGGATGCAACGCATGAGGGCCAGGGTATTCTGAATCTTCGTTTTTTTGCTTGGCCCTTGACCCACGCCAGGGTGTCCAAACCATCCATCTACCAGTGGTTGTTCTCGATGCAGTTAGTATATAAGCCCCGTGTTCTTCACCACCATACATGCGGATGTCTTAGCCCGTTTTCCATGTTTTGTTTCTGAAGGAACTTTTACTTTTTAATACTAAAGCGAATCCGTTGTTTGACCTGTTTTTTTTGGAGGCCCCATTTTGCACATGCCCCAGCCAAAACAAAAACAGATTACAACATTTGAGGTGAAGCTGGTGGGCGGACACCCGCTCATCTTCACCTTCCTTTCCATGGCTTTGTGCGGTGCCCTGTGCTACACAGAGAACTCCACCACTGCCAAGCTGGACTTCGACAAACGTCACCGAGATTGGATAACTTATTCCCACTGTTTTTTCCCGCACGGTCAGAGCCCCGAAATTAGTTTGCAGTGGTTTGGTTTTTAGTTGGCCTTAGCCTATGCATTTGGTTTTGTTGTGATTTTCCAGGGAGATCTCACCCATGAACGAAACTATAACATGACATGACATGACATAACCACAAACCTATAGAGGTGACTATTTCACTTTTCAGCTGATCCAGAACATCTTGTGCTTCGCTTCCGGCCTCATCAACGCCTTGTGCATCTTTGACATGGGCATGACAGTCAGCCACCAGAGTGGCAACACCAGTCACACCGGCCGTTTGATCATGATACCTGGAGTTGCCCAGCTGCTTGTTTGTTTTCCTTGAATCCGTAGGCAATCCACCTACGTAAGAAGTTATCAGAAACTTTTCATGTTTTGAGGAACCTCGTGCGCAAAGCCGCAGGCTGGTACCGCTTTGGATTCCCAAGGTGCTTTTGAAAAGTTTGAGTCCACATGTCTGGTGTTCAGTCATGTTCACCCTGGCCTTGAAGGTATATGACTAGAATCAAGAAGCCAGCAGGTAGTGATTGGTTGATCCAAGGAACGGCGGCGCCGCGTTCGGACACCTGTTGCTCGCCTTCTGCTTCGGCTCCTTCTTCGCGGGCCTCAGCAAGGCGGATACTGAGCTGATCTACTCAGGACGCTACTCTCCCAACCTCTTGGCGGCGGCCCTGGCCGTTGTGGCCGGATGCATGGTGCACTACTGCAACTGGGCTGATTTAGCTTTGCTATGCTTTGCTGAAAGGGTGTAACCTTGAAACTCCAAAATTAAACTCCGAAAATTAGTAGTAGTGCGTCCTGATTTGTGTGCATCCCCCGAAACAAAATATTATACTCTCTTCAAAGCTGGTTGTCCAAAAGCAGTTTGAGTAAGGGTTTTTCTTGGCGGCAATTGAAAACTAATTTGTCTTCTTTTCGGTTGGCTGGTGAGCTTGTAGGACTTGTAGGACTTGTAGGACTTGTAGTACTGCTAGTATTTGCAGTGCTTGTAGTTAATTCACCCGAGTAAGCAAGATATTTTCAGAAAAAATGGTCTGCATACGGGACCAAGGCAACTACACGTGTATTGTAAAGAGTTTGGAGATTTCTAGCCACAATAGCGAACCCAGCTACTAATCAGCATCCAACAAAATTATGGCATATGGTTTTTATCCAGCTGTTGGCGTGCATCTTTTTGCCGACTTGCACCTTCAGCCAATCCTAGGCAAGGAGCATGGCTGCGATGGCAACAACAACACTTCCGAGTGCTTGCTGCTCTTCGCCTTCTCTCAGGGTATCCAGAATGGCATCACCCGAAGATGCCAGACCCTGCCAATTTGCACCACCCATTTCACCGGCTACTTGACGGACGTTGGCACCTTGCTCGGCTGGTGCGCCCGTGATGGTGTGGCAGGTGAGAAGTTCTTGAAGGCTTGGGGGCTAAGATCCGAGATAGTTGTAATTGTTCGATTCACAAAATTCACTGCGCAAGATATGTTTGGCCGCCCAAATCCCAGAGAACCCGGGGACCACCCGCCTTTTCTGTGCAAGGCCATGCTCTTTGCGGCGGGCATCTTCTTCTTCGGGCTCGGCGGCGTGGCTGCCAAGGAGTTGCACGAATCGTTCAGCGTGCAGGCAGCCCTCATCGCAGCTGCCCTGATGGCCGCTGTCGCGGGTGGCTTGGTCCCTGTGACCAAGAGCAAGACCGGCTGAAGGGCCAAGGTGTGAAGATTTCTGCATGCTGTAGTCAGTAATAATTAGGTGATTAGCCCTTTGTCGTTCGGACGTTTCTTTGAGCTTTTAAGGGTTACCTTGACCATCAAAGTACCATGTACCCACAGAAAATAGGAAAAATGAAGCAAGATGAGATGGGGAAAGTGTGAAGAAGGCGCAGGGTTGATGACGATTTTAGATGGGTAACTTGAAGGTCTAGGTGTTTTTCCATATTCAAAAAGGTGTGAGGCACAAACCCTCTCACCACGCTTTCTGGGCAACTGTGGGCTTTGGATCCTTGCAAACCAGAGGGCGCCGAAGGCGTTCACGCTTTCAAGACTCAGCTTCTGCGAGCAAAAAGAGAGGGATCTAATCCAAACCATTCAGTATGCCTTTTCATTGAAGAAACAAGGGCATTTTGCCGCCTTTGCCTCTCATGGGCTTTTGACCAAGTGACATTTGGGATTGGAAGCATGTTGTAAACTGGGCTGCTTGGGTTTACAATACTTGTTCACGTCATGTCAACTGGCAACTTGAGGGTCCTGGGCCTGGACAGTTCAATTGGCAGGCCCTTTTAAGCTCATCGATTTTGAGTGCCCTTCTTCCGCGCCAGTTCTGACATCGACGCCATGGCATTCACTCAGAAGTCCCGTGGCCGTGGCGTTCGCGGAGCTTTGCTGGTGGCCATGTGCTTATGCAGCCTTTGGACACTTTGTCTTGTGATGATTGTGATGGGTCGGTGATTCAGTAGTTTTCCCATGAATTTGTGTTTATTTTAATTTGTAAAGAGGGAGAGGGAGAGAGAGAGAGAGAGAGAGATATGTATATATATAGTATATCTATATATATATATATATAGTGTTTTTTAACGCCATTGCCAAATTTGACGATCGATTGCGTTTTCTTGCGCACGAGTGGATTTGACTTTCTCACAAAGGTTTCCGGTTTGTGACTGTTCGTTGAACATTGAACAGGGGAGTGTGTGCAAAATCAACATCTTGACTTGTTTTCAGCTGATCTTACTTTCCTTGACTGAATCATCTCCAGGAAGCTTTGGAATTTTGAAAGGAAGTTACCATATGACACGGGGAAACCCTTCGGACCCCGAAGACTAAATCTGTTTAAATTTGCACAACTTCAAGGAGCTTGACTTCCCGCACCTTCACCCAGACGGAGGAGGTCACTGAGGACGCCTCGGGTCTTGTGACTTGGCTTGGTCCAGCTGGTGATGTTCAAAGCCTTGTCTATCTTATCTGTTATATGACACAGGCATGCTGAGTTTGTGATCTGGGAAGACAACAAGTGATTGGTGGCCTGAAGGAAAACAGGGTATTCTGAATCTTCGTTTTTTGCTTGGCCCTTGACCCACACCAGGGTGTCCAAACCATCCATCTACCAGTGGTTGTTCTCGATGCAGTTAGTAAGCCCATGTTCTTCACCACCATGCATGCAGATGTCTTAGCTCGTTTTCCATGTTTTGTTTCTGGAGGAACCTTTTAATACTAAAGCAACTCCGTTGTTTGACCTTTTTTTTGGAGGCCCCACTTTACACATGCCCCAGCCAAAACAGATTACAACATTTGAGGTGAAGCTGGTGGGCGGACACCCGCTGATTTTCACCTTCCTTTCCATGGCTTTGTGCGGTGCCCTGTGCTACACAGAGAACTCCACCACTGCCAAGCTGGACTTCGACAAACGTCACCGAGATTGGATAACTTATTCCCACTGTTGTTTTCTCCGCACGGTCACAGCCCCGAAATTAGTTTGCAGTGGTTTGGTTTTTAGTTGTGATTTTCCAGGGAGATCTCACCCATGAACGAAACTATAACATGACATGACATGACATAACCACAAACCTATAGAGGTGACTATTTCACTTTTCAGCTGATCCAGAACATCTTGTGCTTCGCTTCCGGCCTCATCAACGCCTTGTGCATCTTTGACATGGGCATGACAGTCAGCCACCAGAGTGGCAACACCAGTCACACCGGCCGTTTGATCATGATACCTGGAGTTGCCCAGCTGCTGGTTTGTTTTCCTTGAATCCGTAGGCAATCCACCTACGTAAGAAGTTATCAAGCACTTTTCGTGTTTTGAGGAACCTCGTGCGCAAAGCCGCAGGAAGCTGGTACCGCTTTGGATTTCCAAGGTGCTTTTGAAAAGTTTGAGTCCACATGTCTGGTGTTCAGTCATCTTCACCCTAGCCTTGAAGGTATATGACTAGAATCAAGAAGCCAGCACGTAGTGATTGGTTGATCCAAGGAACGGCGGCGCCGCGTTCGGACACCTGTTGCTCGCCTTCTGCTTCGGCTCCTTCTTCGCGGGCCTCAGCAAGGCGGATACTGAGCTGATCTACTCAGGACGCTACTCTCCCAACCTCTTGGCGGCGGCCCTGGCCGTTGTGGCCGGATGCATGGTGCACTATTGCAACTGGGCTGATTTAGCTTTGCTATGCTTTGCTGAAAGGGTGTAACCTTGAAACTCCAAAATTAAATTCCGAAAATAAGTAGTGCGTCCTGATCTGTGTGCATCCCCCAAAACAAAATATTATATATACTCTCTTCAAAGCTGGTTGTCCAAAAGCAGTTTGAGTAAGGGTTTTTCCTTGGCAGCAATTGAAAACTAATTTGTTTTCTTTTCGGTTGGCTGGTGAGCTTGTAGGACTTGTAGGACTTGTAGGACTTGTAGGACTTGTAGTACTGCTAGTATTTGTAGTGCTTGTAGTTAATTCACCCAAGTAAGCAAGATATTTTCAGAAAAAAATGGTCTGCATACGGGACCAAGGCAACTACACGTGTATTGTAAATAGTTTGGAGATTTCTAGCCACAATAGCGAACCCAGCTACTAATCAGCATCCAACAAAATTATGGCATATGGTTTTTATCCAGCTGTTGGCGTGCATCTTTTTGCCGACTTGCACCTTCAGCCAATACCAGGCAAGGAGCATGGCGGCGATGGCAACAACAACACTTCCGAGTGCTTGCTGCTCTTCGCCTTCTCTCAGGGTATCCAGAATGGCATCACCCGAAGATGCCAGACCCTGCCAATTTGCACCACCCATTTCACCGGCTACTTGACGGACGTTGGCACCTTGCTCGGCTGGTGCGCCCGTGATGTTGTGACAGGTGAGAAGTTCTTGAAGGCTTGGGGGCTAAGATCCGAGATAGTTGTAATTGTTCGATTCACAAAATTCACTGCGCAAGATATGTTTGGCCGCCCAAATCCCAGAGAACCCGGGGACCACCCGCCTTTTCTGCGCGAGGCCATGCTCTTTGCGGCGGGCATCTTCTTCTTCGGGCTCGGCGGCGTGGCTGCCAAGGAGTTGCACGAATCGTTCAGCGTGCAGGCAGCCCTCATCGCAGCTGCCCTGATGGCCGCTGTCGCGGGTGGCTTGGTCCCTGTGACCAAGAGCAAGACCGGCTGAAGGGCCAAGGTGTGAAGATTTCTGCATGCTGTAGTCAGTAATAATTAGGTGATTAGCCCTTTGTCGTTCGGACGTTTCTTTGAGCTTTTAAGGGTTACCTTGACCATCAAAGTACCATGTACCCACAGAAAATAGGAAAAATGAAGCAAGATGAGATGGGGAAAGTGTGAAGAAGGCGCTGGGTTGATGACGATTTTAGATGGGTAACTTGAAGGTCTAGGTGTTTTTCCATATTCAAAAAGGTGTGAGGCACAAACCCTCTCACCACGCTTTCTGGGCAACTGTGGGCTTTGGATCCTTGCAAACCAGAGGGCACCGAAGGCGTTCACGCTTTCAAGACTCAGCTTCTGCGAGCAAAAGAGAGGGATCTAATCCAAACCATTCAGTATGCCTTTTCATTGAAGAAACAAGGGCATTTTGCTGCCTTTGCCTCTCATGGGCTTTTGACCAAGTGACATTTGGGATTGGAAGCATGTTGTAAACTGGGCTGCTTGGGTTTACAATACTTGTTCACGTCATGTCAACTGGCAACTTGAGGGTCCTGGGCCTGGACAGTTCAATTGGCAGGCCCTTTTAAGCTCATCGATTTTGAGTGCCCCTCTTCTGCGCCAGTTCTGACATCGACGCCATGGCATTCACTCAGAAGTCCCGTGGCCGTGGCATTCGCGGAGCTTTGCTGGTGGCCATGTGCTTGTGCAGCCTTTGGACACTTTGTCTTGTGATGATTGTGATGGGTCGGTGATTCAGTAGTTTTCCCATGAATTTGTGTTTATTTTAATTTGTAAAGAGGGAGAGGGGGAGAGAGAGAGAGAGAGAGATATATATATATTTTTAAATGCCATTGCCAAATTTGACGATCGATTGCGTTTTCTTGCGCACGAGTGGATTTGACTTTCTCACAAAGGTTTCCGGTTTGTGACTGTTCGTTGAACATTGAACAGGGGAGTGTGTGCAAAATCAACATCTTGACTTGTTTTCAGCTGATCTTACTTTCCTTGACTGAATCATCTCCAGGAAGCTTTGGAATTTTGAAAGGAAGTTACCATATGACACGGGGAAACCCTTCGGACCCCGAAGACTAAATCTGTTTAAATTTGCACAACTTCAAGGAGCTTGACTTCCCGCACCTTCACCCAGACGGAGGAGGTCACTGAGGACGCCTCGGGTCTTGTGACTTGGCTTGGTCCAGCTGGTGATGTTCAAAGCCTTGTCTATCTTATCTGTTATATGACACAGGCATGCTGAGTTTGTGATCTGGGAAGACAACAAGTGATTGGTGGCCTGAAGGAAAACAGGGTATTCTGAATCTTCGTTTTTTGCTTGGCCCTTGACCCACACCAGGGTGTCCAAACCATCCATCTACCAGTGGTTGTTCTCGATGCAGTTAGTAAGCCCATGTTCTTCACCACCATACATGCGGATGTCTTAGCTCGTTTTCCATTTTTTGTTTCTGAAGGAACCTTTTTAATACTAAAGCAAATCCGTTGTTTGACCTTTTTTTTTGGAGGCCCCACTTTGCACATGCCCCAGCCAAAACAAAAACAGATTACAACATTTGAGGTGAAGCTGGTGGGCGGACACCCGCTGATTTTCACCTTCCTTTCCATGGCTTTGTGCGGTGCCCTGTGCTGTGATTTTCCAGGGAGATCTCACCCATGAACGAAACTATAACATGACATGACATGACATAACCACAAACCTATAGAGGTGACTATTTCACTTTTCAGCTGATCCAGAACATCTTGTGCTTCGCTTCCGGCCTCATCAACGCCTTGTGCATCTTTGACATGGGCATGACAGTCAGCCACCAGAGTGGCAACACCAGTCACACCGGCCGTTTGATCATGATACCTGGAGTTGCCCAGCTGCTGGTTTGTTTTCCTTAAATCCGTAGGCAATCCACCTACGTAAGAAGTTATCAAGCACTTTTCGTGTTTTGAGGAACCTCGTGCGCAAAGCCGCAGGAAGCTGGTACCGCTTTGGATTTCCAAGGTGCTTTTGAAAAGTTTGAGTCCACATGTCTGGTGTTCAGTCATCTTCACAGTGGCCTTGAAGGTATATGACTAGAATCAACAAGCCAGCACGTAGTGATCGGTTGATCCAAGGAACGGCGGCGCCGCGTTCGGACACCTGTTGCTCGCCTTCTGCTTCGGCTCCTTCTTCGCGGGCCTCAGCAAGGCGGATACTGAGCTGATCTACTCAGGACGCTACTCTCCCAACCTCTTGGCGGCGGCCCTGGCCGTTGTGGCCGGATGCATGGTGCACTATTGCAACTGGGCTGATTTAGCTTTGCTATGCTTTGCTGAAAGGGTGTAACCTTGAAACTCCAAAATTAAACTCCGAAAATAAGTAGTGCGTCCTGATCTGTGCGCATCCCCCAAAACAAAATATTATATATACTCTCTTCAAAGCTGGTTGTCCAAAAGCAGTTTGAGTAAGGGTTTTTCCTTGGCAGCAATTGAAAACTAATTTGTTTTCTTTTCGGTTGGCTGGTGAGCTTGTAGGACTTGTAGGACTTGTAGGACTTGTAGTACTGCTAGTATTTGTAGTGCTTGTAGTTAATTCACCCAAGTAAGCAAGATATTTTCAGAAAAAAATGGTCTGCATACGGGACCAAGGCAACTACACGTGTATTGTAAATAGTTTGGAGATTTCTAGCCACAATAGCGAACCCAGCTACTAATCAGCATCCAACATTATTAACCTTATGGTTTTGATCCAGCTGTTGGCGTGCATCTTTTTGCCGACTTGCACCTTCAACCAATCCTAGGCAAGGAGCATGGCGGCGATGGCAACAACAACACTTCCGAGTGCTTGCTGCTCTTCGCCTTCTCTCAAGGTATTCAGAACGGCATCACCCGAAGATGCCAGACCCTGCCCATTTGCACCACCCATTTCACTGGCTACTTGACGGACGTTGGCACCTTGCTCGGCTGGTGCGCCCGTGATGGTGTGGCAGGTGAGAAGTTCTTGAAGGCCTGGGGGGGCTAAGATCTGAGATGCTTGTAATTGTTCGATTCACAAAATTCACTGCACAAGATATGTTTGGCCGCCCAAATCCCAGAGAACCCGGGGACCACCCGCCTTTTCTGTGCAAGGCCATGCTCTTTGCGGCGGGCATCTTCTTCTTCGGCCTCGGCGGCGTGGCTGCCAAGGAGTTGCACGAATCGTTCAGCGTGCAGGCAGCCCTCATCGCAGCTGCCCTGATGGCCGCTGTCGCGGGTGGCCTGGTCCCTGTGACCAAGAGCAAGACCGGCTGAAGGGCCAAGGTGTGAAGATTTCTGCATGCCGTAGTCAGTAATAATTAGGTGATTAGCCGTTTGTCGTTCGGACGTTTCTTTGAGCTTTGAAGGGTTACCTTGACCATCAAAGTGCCCACAGAAACTAGGAAAAACATGAAGCAAGATGAGATGGGGAAAGTGTGAAGAAGGCGCTTGGTTGAAGACGATTTTAGATGGGTAACTTGAAGGTCTGGTTTTTTCCATGTTCAAAAAGGTGGGAGGAACAAACCCTCGCACCGCGCTTTCTGGGCAACTGTGGGCTTTGGATCCTTGCAGACCAGAGGGCACCGAAGGCGTTCACGCTTTCAAGACTCAGCTTCTGCGAGCAAAAGAGAGGGATCTAATCTAAACTATTTAGTATGCCTTTTCATTGAAGAAACAAGGGCATTGGCCGCCTTTGCCTCTCATGGGCTTTTGACCAAATGACATTTGGATTGGAAGCATGTTGTAAACTGGGCTGCTTGGGTTGCAGTACTTGTTCATGTCATTTCATGCCATCTCGACTGGCAACTTGAGGGTTCTCGGCCTGCACGGTTCAATTGGCAGGCCCTTTTAAGCTCATCGATTTTGAGTGCCTTCTTCCGCGCCAGTTTTGTTATCGACGCCATGGCATTCACTCAGAAGTCCCGTGGCCGTGGCATTCGCGGAGCTTTGCTGGTGGCCATGTGCTTGTGCAGCCTTTGGACACATGGTCTTGATTCAGCAGTTTCCCCATGAATCATTTCAGCACATGTTTGTGTTTATTTGGATTTACAAAGAAAGGGAGGGAAAGAGAGACTGGCAGAGAGAGAGAGAGAGAGAAAGTGAGAGAGAGAGAGATATATATATATATACATGTTTTAATGCCATTGCCAAATTTGACGATCGTTTGCGTTTTCTTGCGTGCGAGTGGATTTGACTTTCTCGCAAAGGTTTCCGGTTTGCGATTGTTCTTTGAACATTGAACAGGGGAGTGTGTGCAAAATCAGCATCTTGACATGTTTTCAGCTGATCTTACTTTCCTTTGAATCATCTCCAGGAAGCTTTGGAATTTTGAAAGAAAGTTACCATATGACACGGGGAAACCCTTCGGACCCCAAAGACGAAATCTGTTTAAATTTGCACAACTTCAAGGAGCTTGACTTCCCGCACCTTCACCCAGACGGAGGAGGTCACTGAGGACGCCTCGGGTCTTGTGACTTGGCTTGGTCCAGCTGGTGATGTTCCAAGCCTTGTCTATCTTATCTGGGATATGACACAGGCATGCTGAGTTTGTGATCTGGGAAGACAACAAGTGATTGGTGGCCTGAAGGAAAACAGAAGAAAAACAGCAGCTTTTTTACCGTCAACAAGGGGGTTCTTATGGTTCCCCTGGCATGCTCTTGCCCACTCGCGGGAACTTACTTATTCCATCTAATTCCATATATTGCTTCGTTTGTAAGTGCCAACGCCATATTTGTTGTAGCCTCAGTTGTCCATTGGATTGGGTGAGAATGCAACACATGAGGGTATTCTGAATCTTTGTTTTTTGCGTGGCCCTTGACCAGGGTGTCCAAACCATCCATCTATCAGTGGTTGTTGTCGATGCAGTTAATAAGCCCATGTTCTTCACCACCATACGTGCGGATGTCTTAGCCCGTTTTCCATGTTTTGTTTCTGAAGGAACTTTTTAATACTAAAGAGAATCCGTTGTTTGACCTGTTTTTTTGGAGGCCCCATTTTGCACATGCTTCAGCCAAAACAAAAACAGATTACAAAATTTGAGGTGAAGCTGGTGGGCGGACACCCGCTGATTTTCACCTTCCTTTCCATGGCTTTGTGCGGTGCCCTGTGCTACACAGAGAACTCCACCACTGCCAAGCTGGACTTCGACAAACGTCACCGAGATTGGATAACTTATTCCCACTGTTGTTTTCTCCGCACGGTCACAGCCCCGAAATTAGTTTGCAGTGGTTTGGTCTTTAGTTAGCCTTAACCTTTGCATTTGGTTTTGTTGTGATTATCCGGGAACTCACCCATAGATATATAACACGACATAACCACAAACTATAGAGGTGACTATTTCACCTTTCAGCTGATCCAGAACATCTTGTGCTTCGCTTCGGACCTCATCAACGCCTTGTGCATCTTTGACATGGGCATGACAGTCAGCCACCAGAGTGGAAACACCAGTCACACCGGCCGTTTGATCATGATACCTGGAGTTGCCCAGCTGCTGATTTGTTTTTTCCACCACCTGTCGGGTGAGGGTTGTTAGATTTTATGTCAGCTGGCCCGCCTCCTCCTCCTTCTCCTTCTCCTCCTCCTCCTCGTCCTCCTCCTCTGCCGGACCTCAACTGCGTGCTCTAGATTGCAGTTCCCCGCCAGGCCGGAACAGTAACCTCTGGATCAGTTGCTGATTTTCTCGAAAAATATGTGTGCAATCCACTTACGTAAAAAGTTATCAGACACTTTACACTTTTTGAGGGACTTCGTGCGCAAAGACGCAGGAAGCTGGTACCGCTTTGGATTCCCAAGGTGCTTTTGAAAAGTTTGAGTTAGAATTTCAGGTGTTCAGTCATCTTCGCCCTAGCCTTGAAGGTATATGACTAGAATCAAGAAGCCAGCAGGTAGTGATTGGCTGATCCAAGGAATGGCGGCGCCACGTTCGGACACCTGTTGCTCGCCTTCTGCTTCGGCTCCTTCTTTGCGGGCTACAGCAAGGCGGATACGGAACTGATCTACTCAGGACGCTACTCTCCCAACCTCTTGGCGGCGGCCCTGGCCGTGGTGGCCGGATGCATGGTGCACTACTGCAACGTGGCTGATTTAGCTTTGCTGAAAGGGATTAAACTGTAAACTCCGAAAATTTATATTGCGTCCTGATTTATGTGTAACCCCTTATACAAATATTATACTCTCTTCAAAAGCCGAGTGTCCAAAAGCAGTATACAACCGGACATGTGAGTAAGGATTTTGTTTGGCGTAAACTGAACAATAATTAATAAATATTAATAAGACATATTAAGACTTGTTATGACTGGCTGATGTTGTAGTTCTGCTAATACTGCTAGTACTTGTAGTTCATTCACCTAAGTAAGCAACATTTTTTCAGAAAAAATAGTCTGCATACCGGACCAAGGCAACTACCCATTATGTACTGTAAATAGTTCGGACTTTCTAGCCACAATAGCGAACCCAACTTGGCATCTTGAGCCAATACCAGGCAAGGAGCATGGCGGCGATGGCAACAACAACACTTCTGAGTGCTTGCTGCTCTTTGCCTTCTCTCAGGGGATCCAGAACGGCATTACCCGAAGATGCCAGACCCTGCCCATTTGCACCACCCATTTCACCGGCTACTTGACGGACGTTGGCACCCTGCTCGGTTGGTGCGCCCGTGATGGTGTGGCAGGTGAGAAGTTCTTGAAGGCCTGGGGGGGCTAAGATCTGAGATGCTTGTAATTGTTCGATTCACAAAATTCACTGCACAAGATATGTTTGGCCGCCCAAATCCCAGAGAACCCGGGGACCACCCGCCTTTTCTGTGCAAGGCCATGCTCTTTGCGGCGGGCATCTTCTTCTTCGGCCTCGGCGGCGTGGCTGCCAAGGAGTTGCACGAATCGTTCAGCGTGCAGGCAGCCCTCATCGCAGCTGCCCTGATGGCCGCTGTCGCGGGTGGCCTGGTCCCTGTGACCAAGAGCAAGACCGGCTGAAGGGCCAAGGTGTGAAGATTTCTGCATGCTGTAGTCAGTAATAATTAGGTGATTAGCCGTTTGTCGTTCGGACGTTTCTTTGAGCTTTGAAGGGTTACCTTGACCATCAAAGTGCCCACAGAAAATAGGAAAAACATGAAGCAAGATGAGATGGGGAAAAAGTGAAGAAGGCGCTTGGTTGAAGATGATTTTAGATGGGTAACTTGAAGGTCTGGGTTTTTTTCCATGTTCAAAAAGGTGGGAGGAACAAACCCTCGCACCGCGCTTTCTGGGCAACTGTGGGCTTTGGATCCTTGCAGACCAGAGGGCACCGAAGGCGTTCACGCTTTCAAGACTCAGCTTTTGCAAGCAAAGGGAGAGAGAGAGGGAGAGATCTAAACCATGCCGCCTTTGCCGCCTTTGCCCCTCATGGGCTTTTGACCATGTCGACTGGCAACTTGAGGGTTCTGGGCCTGCACAATTCAATTTGCAGGCCCTTTTAAGCTCATCGATTTCAAGTGCCCTTCTTCCGTGCCACTTTTGACATCGACGCCATGGCATTGACTCAGAAGTCCCGTGGCCGTGGCATTCGCGGAGCTTTGTTGGTTGCCATGTGCTTGTGCAGCCTTTGGACACTTTGTCTTGTGATCATTGTGATGTGTCGGTGATTCAGTAGTTTCCCATGAATTTGTGTTTATTCTAATTTGTAAAGAGGGAGGGAGAGGGAGAGAGATGGAGAGAGGGAGGGAGAGAGAGAGAGAGAGAGAGACTGGGGGAGAGAAGAGAGAGAGAGAGAGAGAGAGACAGAGAGAGAGAAAGAGAGAGAGAGAAAGCGAGCGAGCGAGAGCGAGTTTTTGTTCTATGCCATTGCCAAATGCTTTGACGATCGTTTCGGTTTTCTTGCGCACGAGCGGATTTAACTTTCCAGCTTGAGATTGTTCATTGAACAGGTAAGTGTGTGCAAAATCAACATCTTCACTTCTTTTCAACTGATCTTGCTTTCCTTGACTAAACCATCTCCAGGAAGCTTTGGAATTTTGAAAGGAAGTTACCATATGACACGGGGAAACCCTTCGGACCCCGAAGCCTAAATCTGTTCAAATCTGCGCAGCTTCAAGGAGCTTGACTTCCCGCACCTTCACCCAGACGGAGGAGATCACTGAGGACGCCTCGGGTCTTGAGACTTAGCTTGGCCAAGCTGGTGAGGTTCAAAGCCTTGTCTATTTTGTCTGGGATATGACACAGGCATGCACAATTTGTTTGGGTTTGCTTGCTGTGATCTGCTGAAGAAAAGAGAGGATGAAACCCAGATATTTTACCATCAACAAGTGGGGTTCCTATGGTTCCCTTGGCATGCTCTTGGCCAATTGCGGGGCTTTACTAATTACAGTACCGGACGAGCAGTTAGAATATTTTTATTCACGGCTTTCATGCTTAACGCGAGTCCAGGATTATATTCTTGCATATGCTGTCAAGACGTGTTAATTCACACATAGAAGATAAAAAATGGTTTTAAGTAAAAACGACCCCTACACTTAGAATATTTTGCATATATTCATGTATGATATTAAGTGAAACCCACAAAAAATCGTGTGTTTCACCTCCGTTTTCGAAAGAACAGTGGTGATTTTTTTGAGATGCCAAACGCGCATAGGACATTACCAGCCGGCTGGCGGTTGTTGCTGTGTTTTCTGTACAAACGTTGCACTTATTGGCAATGAATGCACTTAGAATATGGTCACAACTGCCAGGGTCGCTTAGTCCATCCATCAATCCATCAAGCAAGCTACATAACAAAACAGTTTACAGTTGAGTCTGTTACTGCGAAACGAACAAGGTACAGTACCAAAAAGTTTGAAACTGCTGAGTTCATGATTGCAAAACAAGTTCAGCAGAGCACCATATGGTTAACAGTTCTTGCACATGGTACTGCAAAACACGCATGGTACAGGGCAGTTGTTGTTTGTGTTTGTGTAAAACCGTTCTTTTTTGGTCAGCGCATGCACTTAGAATATAGTCACTGCAGACAAAACAAAGTACAGCGCGGAAAAGTTTGAAACTGTTGGGTTTTGATCGCAAAAACAGTCTCAATACATAAAGACATGGTTTACTATTGTTGCATTCCGTACTGCAACACACGCATGGTATAGTACCGACAGTGAATGCACTTAGAACATGGTCACAACTGCCAGAGTCGCTTAGTCCATCAAGCAAGATACAGAACCGAACAGTTTATAGTTGAGTTCGTTACTTCAAAAAAAAACAAGGTACAGTTACCCAAAACATGCAACTGCCGAGTTAATATTTGCAAAACTACCTCAGTACAACACCACATGGTTTACATGTTTTGCGTTTGGCACTGCAAAACACGCATGGTCGCCGCAAGGTACACCACCAACCGGTTTGGAATTGTGTATTTTCCTGTATAACTTTGCATTTATGGGCAGTAAATGAGTTTAGAATATGGTAACAACTCCATAGTCTCATTTTACATCAAGCAAGGCAAAGAAAAGAAACATACAGTTGGGTTTGTTGATTCCTGCAAAACAAGCAAGGTAAATTGCCAACAAATTGCATCGGTCTCAAACAATCTCAGTACATCACCACGTAGGTTTGCAGTTGTTACGTGTGGTACTGCACAACACGCATGGTACCGTACCAATAGGTTGGCAGTTGATGTTTTTGCTCCTGTAAAACTGTGCATTTGTGGGCGGCGAATGCATTTGGAATATGGTCACAACCAAATTGTCACTGATAGTCCATCAAGGAAGGTACACAACATTACTGAACAGTTTGCCGTTGTATTAGTTACCGCAAAGCACATGGTACAGTACTAAAACGTTTGCAACTGTTGAGTTCGATTGCAAAACAAGTTCAGCCGAGCACCATACAGTTTACTGCTGTTGTACCTGGTGCGGCAACATATGCATGGTACAGTACCAACCGGTTGGCAGTTGTTATTTTTGGTTGTGTAAAACTGTGCATTTGTGAACAGTGAATGAACTTAGTACATGGCCACAACAGCCACAGTTGCTTAGCCCATCAAGATCCATCAAGCAAGGTACATAACCGACAGTTACTGCAAAGCAAGCAAGATACAGCACCAAAAAGTTTGCAACCGTTGGCTTTATGACTGCAAAACCACTTCGGCAGAGCACAACAGCGTTTACAGTTGTTGCATTTGGCACTGCAAAACACGCATGGACGCCGTATGGTACATTACCAATTGGTTTGCAGTTGTTGCTTTTGCTTGTAAAACGGCGCATTGTAGGCGGTAAATGCATATAGAATCATGTCACAGCTACATAGTGACTTAGTATGAAGAAGGACCAGAGCCGGAAAGCTCACAGCTGAGTTCGTTACTGCAGGACCAGCAAGGTACAGTACCAAAAAGTTCTCAACTGTTGAGTTATGATCGCAAAACAATCTCAGTACATCACCACATGTTTTACAGTTGTTGCATGTGATGGTGCAAAACACGCATGGTACAGTACCAACCAGTTGGCAGTTGTTGTTTTTGCTCGTCTAAAACTGTGGATTTGTGGGCAGTAAATGCATTTAGAATATGGACGCAACTGCATAGTCTCTTTTTATATCATTTTACATCAAGCAAATCAAAGAATAGAAACCTTTACAGTTGAGGTCGTTACTGCAAAACAAGCAAGGCAAAGTGCCAAAAAATGAAGCTGTTGAGTTCGTGATAGCAAAACAATCTCAGTACATCCATCACCACAAATAGGCTTGCAGTTGCTGCATGTCGTTTTGCAAAACACACTCATGGTACAGCACCAGCTGATTGGCACTTGTTGTTTTTGTTTGTGTAAAAGTGTGCATTCATAGGCACTGAATGCACTTAGAATATGGTCACAACTGCCAGAGTCGCTTAGTCCATCAAGCAAGCTAAGCTACATAATCGAACAGTTTACAGGTGAGTGTGCTACTGCAAAGCAAGCAAGGTACAGCACTAAAACGTTTGCAACTGTTGAGTTCGATTGCAAAACAAGTTCAGCCGAGCACCATATGGTTTACTGCTGTTGTATCTGGTGCGGCAACACATGCATGGTACAGTACCAACCGGTTGGCAGTTGTTGTTTTTGGTTGTGTAAAACTGTGAATTTGTGGACAGTGAATGAACTTAGTACATGGCCACAACAGCCACAGTTGCTTAGCCCATCACTATCCATCAAGCAAGGTTCAGTAAATGCAGAACTGAACAGTTTATAGTTGAGTTCTTTGCTGCGAAACAAGCATGGTACAGTACCAAGCAGTTTGCAACTGTTGGGTTCATGATTGCAAAACAATTTCAGCAGAGCACCATGTGGTTTACAGTTCTTGCACCTGGTACTCCAAAACACGCATGGTACAGTACCAGCAGGTTGGCAGTTTTTGTCTGTGTTTGTGTAAAACTGTGCATTTTGGCAACAAATACACCTAGAATATGGACACAACTTCCAGAGTCACTTTGTCCATCAAGCAAGATACAGAACCGAACAGTTTATAGTTGAGTTTGTTACTGCAAGACAAGCCGCGTACAATACCAAATAAATTTGCAACTGTTGAGTTTCATGATTGCAGATGAATCTCAGTACGGTATAGTACAGCACCATATGTTTTACAGTTGTTTCATTTGGTACTGCAAAACACGCATTGTACAGTACCAAGTCGTTTGCAGTATATGTTTTTGTTCCTGTAAAGCTGTGCGTAAATGGGCATTGAATGCAGTTAGAATATGGCCACAAAGTCATTTTGTACATCAAACAAGGCAAAGAATAGAAACCTCTACAGTTGAGCTCATTACTGCAAAACAAGCAAGGTAAAGTGCAGAAAAGTTTGCAACTGCTGAGCTCATGACCGCAAAACAATCTCAGTACATCACCACATAGACTTGCAGTTTTTGCATTTGGTACTGCAAAACACGCATGGTACAGCACCAACCGGTTGGCAATGTTTGCTTTTCTTTCGTAAAATTGTGTATTCATGGGCAGTGAATACTCATAGTCCATCAAGGAAGGTACAGAACCAACAAGTTTACTGTTGAGTTTGTTATTGTAAACGTTGTTTTGTTGTGTTGGTGTATTTGGTTTTGTTTGATTTCCATTGGGATTTGTGAGCCCATACATTGGTGTATTCATGCGGGGGCACAGTAGAGTACCGTAGATTGGCGGGGAAACCAGAAAAAAAACAGCGATGGGGATAGAGAGAGAGAGAGGAGGCCTGAGGTCATGGTATTAGTGGGGATATATGGTCGGATGTAGCTATTTCCTCCTCAAGACAACATACTACCAAAATATTCTACGTGTACCCCCGGATTTCGATATTCTGAGTGCTTACCACCAGGGGCTCAAGTAAGTTAAAAAACAACATAAATTCATATTCTAAAAACTCTAATTCACTTTTCATATTCTTAACTCGGTGTCCATCATAATACATTTGAAGGAGCTTTGAGTACTGAAGAGAATCCGTTGTTCGACGTTTTTTAGAGGCCCCATTTTGCACATGCTTCAGCCAAAACAAAAACAGATTACAAAATTTGAGGTGAAGCTGGTGTGCGGACACCCGCTAATCTTCACCTTCCTTTCCATGGCTTTGTGCGGTGCCCTGTGCTACACAGAGAACTCCACCACTGCCAAGCTGGACTTTGACAAGCGTCACCGAGATTGGATAACTTATTCCCACTGTTTTTTTCCTCTGCACGATCACAGCCCCGTTTTTTCTTTGCAGGTCGTTTTGTTCTTAGTTAGCCTCAGCCTCTGCATTGGGTCTAGTGGTGATTTTCCAGGGAGATCTCACCCATGAACGAAACTGTCACATGACATGACATAACCACAAACTATAGAGGTGACTATTTCACTTTTCAGCTGATCCAGAACATCTTGTGCTTCGCTTCCGGCCTCATCAACGCCTTGTGCATCTTTGACATGGGCATGACAGTCAGCCACCAGAGTGGCAACACCAGTCACACTGGCCGTTTGATCATGATACCTGGAGTTGCCCAGCTGCTGCTTTGTTTTTAAACAACCCGTATAGGCAATCCACAAATGCTTATGTAAGTTATCAGACACTTTTCATGTTTTGAAGAACCTTGTTCAATCGTGTCACCCTAGCCCTGGCAGTATATCACTAGAAGATATATTCGAATCAAAAAGACAATAATTAGCGATTGGTTCCAAGGAACGGCGGGGCCGCTTTTGGACACCTGTTGCTCGCGTTCTGCTTCGGCTCCTTCTTTGCGGGCTACAGCAAGGCGGATACTGAGCTGATCTACTCAGGACGCTACTCTCCCAACCTCTTGGCGGCGGCCCTGGCGGTGGTGGCCGGATGCATGGTGCACTACTGCAACTCAGCTTTGCTGAAAGGGTTTGAACTCTGAGATTATCTTTTGTCCCATCTGTTGGCGGGTGTCTTTTTGCCAACTTGCACCTTCAGCTTATCCTAGGCAAGGAGCATGGCGGCGATGGCAACAACAACACTTCTGAGTGCTTGCTGCTCTTTGCGTTTTCTCAAGGTATCCAGAACGGCATTACCCGAAGATGCCAGACCCTGCCCATTTGCACCACCCATTTCACGGGCTACTTGACGGACGTTGGCACCCTGCTCGGTTGGTGCGCCCGTGATGGTGTGGCAGGTGAGAAGTTCTTGAAGGCTCGCGGGGGTTAAGATTGGAGACAGGTGGAGTTTTTTCAAAAAATAAGCTTCGGTGGTATCCCCAACAGCCACAACCTTTTATTTTTACAAATCTTTCTGAAGCGTGCTGCGAAGCCAAGTGCTGGAAACACCTCAGCTGGGTTTCCGTGAGTTAAATGGCCGCAAATCCTGTTGAACCTGCACCAAGCCTCCCAAACCTTCTCCGGAATCTTCTCCGGCACCCTGTTGAACCTGACCTGGCTCTGCAGCAAAGCCTCCCGAACCTTCTCTGAAACTTCTTTGGAACCTTCTCCAGAACCCTGTTGAACCTGACCTGGCTCTTCACCACAGACTTCCAGACTCTCTCCGGAACCTTCTCCGGAACCCTGTTGAATCTGACCTGGCTCTGCACCAAAGCCTCCCGGAACCTTCACCGGAACCTTCTTCGGAACCCTGTTGAACCTGAGCTGGCTCTGCACCAACGCCTTCACCTTCTCCGGAACCTTTTCCGAAACCCTGTTGAACTTGACCTGGCTCTGCACCAAAGCCTCCCAGACCTTCACCGCAACCTTTTCCGGAACCCTGTTGAACCTGACTTGGCTCTGCCCCCAAGCGTCCCGGAACCTTCTCCGGAACCTTCTCCGGAACCTTCTCCGGAACCCTGTTGAACCTGACCTGGCTCTGCGCCAAAGCCTCCCCGACCTTCTCCTTCTCCGGAACCTTCTCCAGAACCCTGTTGAGCTTGACTTGGCTTTGCACCAAGGCTTCCTGGAACCTTCTTCGGAACCTTCTCCAGAACCCTGTTGAACCTGACTTGGCTCTGCACCAACCGTGCACCTTCTCCGGAATCTTCTCCGGAACCCTGTTGAACCTGACCTGGCTCTGCACCACAGCCTCCCCGACCTTCACCGCAACCTTTTCCGGAACCCTGTTGAACCTGACCTGGCTCTGCACCAACCGTGAACCTTCTCCGGAATCTTCTCTGGAACCCTGTTGAACGTGACCTGGCTCTGCACCAAAGCTTCCCACACCTTCTCCGGAACCTTCGGAACCTTCTCCGGAACCTCATTGAACCCGATCTGGCGCCTGCACCAGTGCACACCGGAGCTTTTCTGGGGTGAAGACCCCATTAGCTTACGCTGTCGGGGAAAAACAAGAAAGCCGGATTAATCACACAAAACAATGGTGGTTTCAATGGATGCATCGTTGGGCCGAAAGAATCCGCAACCACTCAGACCCAGACCACCTGCCTCTTCTGTGCAAGGCCATGCTCTTTGCGGCGGGCATCTTCTTCTTCGGCCTCGGCGGCGTGGCCGCCAAGGAGCTGCACGAATCCTTCAGCGTGCAGGCAGCCCTCATCGCAGCTGCCCTGATGGCCGCTGTCGCGGGTGGCCTGGTCCCTGTGACCAAGAGCAAGACTGGCTGAAGGGCCAAGGTGTGAAGATTTCTGCATGCTGTAGTCAGTAATAATTAGGTGATTAGCCGTTAATCGTTCGGACATTTCTTTGAGCTTTTAAGGGTTACCTTGACCATCAAAGTGCCCATAGACAGTAGGAACAGATGAAGCAAGATGGGGAAAGTGTGAAGGAGGCGTTGGGTTGAAGACGATCTTAAATGGGTAACTTGAAGGTCTGGGTTTTTTCCATGTTCAAAAAGGTGTGAGGCACAAACCCTCGCACCGCGTTTTCTGGGCAACTGTGGGCTTTGGATCCGTGCAGACCAGAGGGCACCGAAGGCGTTCACGCTTTCAAGACTCAGCTTCTGCGAGCAAAAGAGAGGGATCTAATCTAAACCATTTAGTATGCCTTTTCATTGAAGAAACAAGGGCACTGGCCGCCTTTGCCTCTCATGGGCTTTTGACCAAATGACATTTGGATTGGAAGCATGTTGTAAACTGGGCTGCTTGGGTTGCAGTACTTGTTCATGTCACTTCATGTCATCTCGACTGGCAACTTGAGGGTTCTGGGCCTGCACGGTTCAATTGGCAGGCCCTTTTAAGCTCATCGATTTTAAGTGCTCTTCTTCCGCGCCAGTTTTGACATCGACGCCATGGCATTCACTCAGAAGTCCCGTGGCCGTGGCATTCGCGGAGCTTTGCTGGTGGCCATGTGCTTGTGCAGCCTTTGGACACTTTGTCTTGTGATGATTGTGATGGGTCGGTGATTCAGTAGTTTTCCCATGAATCATTCCACCACATGTTTGTCTTTACACGTATATATTTGATGCGATTGTAATTGTTAAAAATATGGATAGAGAGAGCGAGAGAGAAAGAGAGAGAGAGAGAGAGATAGAGATAGAGAGAGAAAGAGAGACCAGAGAGATAAAGAGAGACTAGAGAGAGAAAGAGAGACTAGAGAGAGAGAGAGAGAAAGAGAGAGAGAGAGAGAGATAGAGAGAGAAAGAGAAACTAGAGAGAAAGAGAGACTAGAGAGATAAAGAGAGACTAGAGAGAGAAAGAGAGAGAAAGAGAGAGAAAGAGAGACGAGAGAGAGAGAGAGAGAGAATGAGAGAGAGAGAGGGAGAGAGCTACTGGTCTGTGCCTGTGCCATGGTAAAATACTTTGACGATCGTTTGCATTTCCTTGCGCATGAGGTATTTTGACAGTCGATGTAGCGTGATAAAATCAAAAAGGCTTGCAGCTTGTGATTGTTCATTGAGCAGGGGAGTGTGTGTGCGTGTGTGTGTTAAAACCCTGGCATCTTCGCAACTGACTTTGCTTTTCTTGATTGACCCACTTCCAGGAAGTCCCGTTTGATACGGGGAAACCCTTTGGACCCAAAGTCTGCTCGAGGAGCTTGACTTCCCGCACCTTCACCCAGGCGGAGGAGGTCACTGAGGATGCCTCTGGTCTTGTGACTTGGGTTGGTCCAGCTGGTGATGTTCCAAGCCTTGTCTATCTTGTTTGGGATACAACACAGGCATGCTGAATTTGTTTGGGTTTGCTTGCTGTGATCATCTGTGATCTGGGAAGACCACAAGTGATTCGTGGTGGGGGAGAGAGGATGAAACTGATGAAGCCCAACAAGGGGGTTCTTATGGTTCCGCTGGCATGCTCTTGTCCAATTGTGGGAATCTACTACTTCCATATTTAATTGCCTGCGGCAAGCCCGCCGGCCATAGCCATTTGGTGCATAGAGACATTTTATATGAGCCTTCGGCGTAGTCGCAGACCGTGGCCTGGACAAAAACAAGGCCAGTGTGTGTGTGTGCGTGTGTGTGTAAAAGCATCTGTGCGTCAAAGCTGCGGTGTGTAAAGGCTTCTGTGTGTAAAAGCATCTGTGCGTCAAAGCTGCGGTGTGTAAAAGCTTCTGTGTGTGAAAGCGTCTGTGCGTCAAAGCTGCGGTGTGTAAAAGCTTCTGTGTGTAAAAGCATCTGTGCGTCAAAGCTGCGGTGTGTAAAAGCTTCGGTGTGTGTAAAAGCATCTGTGCGTCAAAGCTGCGGTGTGTAAAAGTATCTGTGTGTAAAAGCATCTGTGCGTCAAAGCTGCGATGTGTAAAAGCTTCTGTGTGAAAAAGCATCTGTGCGTCAAAGCTTCTGTGTGCCAAAGCTTCTGTGTGTAAAAGCTTCTGTGTGTAAAAGCGTCTGTGGGTAAAAAGCTTCTGTGTGTAAAAGCCTCTGTGTGTAAAAGAGTCTGCGTGTAAAAGATTCTGTGTGTAGAAGTGTCTGTGAGTAAAAGCCGCTGTGTGTAAAAGCTTCGGCGTGTAAAAGCGTCTGTGTGTAAAAGCTGCGGTGTGTAAAAGCTTCTGTATGCAAAAGCTTCTGTGTGTAAAAGCTTCTTTGTGTAAAAGCATCTGTGCGTCAAAGCTGCGGTGTGTAAAAGCTTCTGTGTATAAAAGCATCTGTGCGTCAAAGCTGCGGTGTGTAAAAGCTTCTGTGTGTAAAAGCATCTGTGCGTCAAAGCTGCGGTGTGTAAAAGCTTCTGTGTGTAAAAGCATCTGTGCGTCAAAGCTGCGGTGTGTAAAAGCATCTGTGTGTAAAAGCATCTGTGCGTCAAAGCTGCGGTGTGTAAAAGCTTCTGTGTGTGAAAGCTGTCTGTGTGTAAAAGCTTCTGTGTGTATAAGTGCAAAAAGCTTCTGTGTGCAAAAGCTTCTGTGTGTAAAAGCCTCTGTGTGTAAAAGCTTCTGTGTGTAAAAGCGTCTGTGTGTAAAAGCTGCTGGTGTGTAGAAGCTTCTGTGTGTAAAAGCTGCTGTGTGTAAAAGCGTCTGTGTGTAAAAGTTTCTGTGTGTAAAAGCCTCTGTGTGTAAAAGCTTCTGTGTGTAAAAGCGTCTGTGCGTAAAAAAAGCTTCTGTGTGTAAAAGCGTCTGTGTGTAAAAGCTTCTGTGTGTAAAAGCCTCTGTGTGTAAAAGCTTCTGTGTGTAAAAGCTTCTGTGTCTAAAAGCTTCTGTGTGTAAAAGTTTCTGTGTGTAAAAGCTTCTGTGTGTAAAAGCTTCTGTGTGTAAAAGCGTCTGTGTCTGTGTGTAAAAGCTTCTGTGTGTAAAAGCTTCTGTGTGTAAAAGCGTCTGTGTGTAAAAGCGTCTGTGTGTAAAAGCTTCTGTGTGTAAAAGCTTCTGTGTGTAAAAGCGTCTGTGTGTGAAAGTTTCTGTGTGTAAAAGCTTCTGTATGTAAAAGCTTCTGTGTGTAAAAGCTTCTGTGTGTAAAAGCATCTGTGCGTCAAAGCTGCGGTGTGTAAAAGCTTCTGTGTGTAAAAGCCTCTGTGTGTAAAAGCGTCTGCGTGTAAAAGGTTCTGTGTGTAGAAGTGTCTGTGAGTAAAAGCCGCTGTGTGTAAAAGCTTCGGCGTGTAAAAGCTTCTGTGGGTAAAAGCTTCTGTGCGTAAAAGCGTCTGCGTGTAAAAGCTTTTGTGTGTAAATGCTTTTGTGTGTCAAAGGTTCTGTGTGTAAAATCTTCTGTGTGTAAAAGCTTCTGTGTGTAAAAGCCTCTGTGTGTAAAATCTTCTGTGTGTAAAAGCCTCTGTGTGTATAAGCGTCTGTGTGTAAAAGCTTCTGTGTGTAAAAGCTTCTGCGTGTCAAAGTTTCTGTGTGTAAAAGCTTCTGTGTGTAAAAGCTTCTGTGTGTAAAAGCGTCTGTGTGCACAAGTTTCTGTGTGTAAAAGCTTTTGTGTGTAAGAGCTTCTGTGTGTAAAAGCTTCTGTAGTAAGCCCATGTTCGTTCACCACCATACACGCAGATGTCTTAGTCCATGTTGTGCTGTTTGCTTTGAAGGAGCTTTGAGTACTGAAGAGAATCCGTTGTTTGACATGTTTTTTTGGAGGCCCCATTGTGCACATGCCCCAGCCAAAACAAAAACAGATTACACAATTTGAGGTGAAGCTGGTGGGCGGACACCCGCTGATCTTCACCTTCCTTTCCATGGCTTTGTGCGGTGCCCTGTGCTACACAGAGAACTCCACCACTGCCAAGCTGGACTTCGACAAACGTCACCGAGATTTCTGCAGATTAATCCCAGTGTTTTTCTTCCACGCGATCACAGCCGAAGGGTTTTGAAGTGGCCTCAGAATCTACTTCAAGGTTTCTTTGCATGTTTTGTATTGTAACATAGAACTCGCCCATCGACATCACCACAAACAATAGAGGTGACTATTTCACTTTTCAGCTGATCCAGAACATCTTGTGCTTCGCTTCCGGTCTCATCAACGCCTTGTGCATCTTTGACATGGGCATGACAGTCAGCCACCAGAGTGGCAACACCAGTCACACCGGCCGTTTGATCATGATACCTGGAGTTGCCCAGCTGCTGATTTGCTTGAAAAGCCCGTAGGCAATCTACAAATATTTACGTAATAAGCCATCACACACTTTTCACGTTTTGAGGAACCTCGTGCGCAAACCCGAAGAAAGCTGGTACCACTGTGGGTTCCCAGTGATTTTTTGGATATGTTTGAATCCAAATTTCAGGTGTTCAATCGTTTCACCCTAGCCCTGACGGTATATCACTAGAATCAAAACAGCAGGAGGTAGCGACTGTTTGATCCAAGGAACGGCGGCGCCGCTTTTGGACACCTGTTGCTCGCCTTCTGCTTTGGCTCCTTCTTTGCGGGCTACAGCAAGGCGGATACTGAGCTGATCTACTCAGGACGCTACTCTCCCAACCTCTTGGCGGCAGCCCTGGCCGTGGTGGCCGGATGCATGGTGCACTACTGCAACTTTGCTCTCTTCAAAGTCGGTTGTCGAAAAGCAGTATACAAGGGTACATGTGAGTAAGGCCTTTGGTTAACGACAATTAAAACTAATTAATTAAGATTTTTTGGGGTCTGCTGGTGAGCTTGTAGTACTTGTAGCACTTGTAGTACTTGTAGTACTGTTAGGAATGCTCCTGTTTTTCAATAATTCACCCAAGTAAGCAAGATTTGTCCAGAAAACATGGTGTGCATACCGGACCAAGGCAACTATACATGTACTGCAAATAGATGGGGGATTCCCAGCCACCACAGCATCCAACATCACGTTTTTTAATCCAGCTGTTGGCGTGCATGTTTTTGGCGACTTTCATCTTGAGCCAGTCCTAGGCAAGGAGCATGGCGGCGATGGCAACAACAACACTTCCGAGTGCTTGCTGCTCTTTGCGTTCTCTCAAGGTATCCAGAACGGCATCACCCGAAGATGCCAGACCCTGCCCATCTGCACAACCCATTTCACGGGCTACTTGACAGACGTTGGCACCTTGCTCGGCTGGTGCGTTCGTGATGGTGTGACCGGTGAGAAGTTCTTGAAGGCCTGGCGGGTCATTTACTAATTACTGAAGATATGTTTGCCCGAAAAATTCCCGACCACCCAGATCCAGACCACATGCCTTTTCTGTGCAAGGCCATGCTCTTTGCGGCGGGCATCTTTTTCTTCGGCCTCGGCGGCGTGGCTGCCAAGGAGTTGCACGAATCGCTCAGCGTGCAGGCAGCCCTCATCGCAGCTGCCCTGATGGCCGCAGTCGCGGGTGGCCTGGTCCCTGTGACCAAGAGCAAGACTGGCTGAAGGGCCAAGGTGTGAAGATTTCTGCATGCTGTAGTCAGTAGTATAATTAGGTGATTAGCCGCTAGTCGTTCGGACGTTTCTTTGAGCTTTTAAGGGTTACCTTGACCATCGAAGTGCCCATAGAAGTTAGGAACAGATGAAGCAAGATATGGAAGTGTGAAGGAGGCACAGGGTGAACTATCCGGTGTGATGGGTGTCATTGATGGTCTTGGTGTTTTTCCATGTTCAAAAAGGTGGGAGGGACAAGCCCTCGCACCGCGCTTTCTGGGCAACTGTGGGCTTTGGATCCTTGCAGACCAGAGGGCACCGAAGGCGTTCACGCTTTCAAGACTCAGCTTCTGCGAGCAAAAGAGAGGGATCTAATCTAAACCATTTAGTATGCCTTTTCATTGAAGAAACAAGGGCATTGGCCGCCTTTGCCTCTCATGGGCTTTTGACCAAATGACATTTGGATTGGAAGCATGTTGTAAACTGGGCTGCTTGGGTTGCAGTACTTGTTCATGTAATTTCATGTCATCTCGACTGGCAACTTGAGGGTTCTGGGCCCGCACAGTTCAATTGGCAGGCCCTTTTAAGCTCATCGATTTAAAGTGCTCTTCTTCCGCGCCATTTTTGACATCGACGCGATGGCATTCACTCAGAAGTCCCGTGGCCGTGGCATTCGCGGAGCTTTGCTGGTGGCCATGTGCTTGTGCAGCCTTTGGACACTTTGTCCTGTGATGATTGTAATGGGCCGGTGATTCAGATTCAGTAGTTTTCCCATGAATCATTCCACCACATGTTTGTCCATATATACATGTTTCTTACATATGTAGTTGTGAATGTAAACAAAGTTGGATAGAGAGAAAAAGGTAGAGAGAGAGAGAGTGAGAGAGAGAAAGAACCAGAAAGAGAGAGAGAGAGAGAAAGACGAAGAAAAAAAGAGAGAGAGAGAGAGCCGTTGGCTTGTGCATTGTCAAGTACTTCGATGATCGTTTGCGTTTTCTTGCGCGTGAGTGGTTTCAATAAGGGATGTAATATGATCAAATCAAATAGTGTCTCCGATTTGTGATTGTTCATTCATTGAGCAGCGGAGTGTGTGCAAAATCAGCATCTTGACATCTTTGCAACCGACCTCGCTTTTCTTGACTAAACCATCTCCATGAAGCTTAAGAATATCTTAGGAATTTCGCAAGGAAGTTACCATATGACACAAGGAAACCCTTCGGACCCCGAAGACTAATCTGTATAAATCTCTACAATTTCAAGGAGCTTGACTTCCCGCACCTTCACCCACACGGAGGAGGTCACTGAGGACGCCTCGGGTCTTGTGACTTGGGTTGGTCCAGCTGGTGATGTTCAAAGACATGTTCGGGATATGAAACAGGCATGCTGAGTTTGTTTGGGTTTGCTTGCTGTGCTCTGGGAAGGCCACAAGTGATTGGTGGTCGGCAGGAAAACAAAATCAGAAAACCACCGTTCTTTACCATCAACAAGTAACTTCGGTAATTATTGTGGTTGGATTCAATGTAGTAAGCCCATGTTCGTTCACCACCATACACGCAGATGTCTTAGTCCATGTTGTGCTGTTTGCTTTGAAGGAGCTTTGAGTACTGAAGAGAATCCGTTGTTTGACATGTTTTTTTTGGAGGCCCCATTGTGCACATGCCCCAGCCAAAACAAAAACAGATTACACAATTTGAGGTGAAGCTGGTGGGCGGACACCCGCTGATCTTCATCTTCCTTTCCATGGCTTTGTGCGGTGCCCTGTGCTACACAGAGAACTCCACCACTGCCAAGCTGGACTTCGACAAACGTCACCGAGATTTCTGCAGATTAATCCCAGTGTTTTTCTTCCACGCGATCACAGCCGAAGGGTTTTGAAGTGGCCTCAGAATCTACTTCAAGGTTTCTTTGCATGTTTTGTATTGTAACATAGAACTCGCCCATCGACATCACCACAAACAATAGAGGTGACTATTTCACTTTTCAGCTGATCCAGAACATCTTGTGCTTCGCTTCCGGTCTCATCAACGCCTTGTGCATCTTTGACATGGGCATGACAGTCAGCCACCAGAGTGGCAACACCAGTCACACCGGCCGTTTGATCATGATACCTGGAGTTGCCCAGCTGCGGATTTGCTTGAAAAGCCCGTAGGCAATCCACAAATATTTACGTAATAAGCCATCACACACTTTTCACGTTTTGAGGAACCTCGTGCGCAAACCCGAAGAAAGCTGGTACCACTGTGGGTTCCCAGTGATTTTTTGGATATGTTTGAATCCAAATTTCAGGTGTTCAATCGTTTCACCCTAGCCCTGACGGTATATCACTAGAATCAAAACAGCAGGAGGTAGCGACTGTTTGATCCAAGGAACGGCGGCGCCGCTTTTGGACACCTGTTGCTCGCCTTCTGCTTCGGCTCCTTCTTCGCGGGCTACAGCAAGGCGGATACTGAGCTGATCTACTCAGGACGCTACTCTCCCAACCTCTTGGCCGCGGCCTTGGCCGTGGTGGCTGGATGCATCGTGCACTACTGCAACTTTGCTGACTTTGTTTACTCTGTTTTCTGAAAGGGATGAGATTTTGAAAATCTGGTTTTTATCCAGCTGTTGTTGGCGGGTATCTTTTGCCGACTTGCACCTTCAGCCGATCCTAGGCAAGGAGCATGGCGGCGATGGCAACAACAACACATCCGAGTGCTTGCTGCTCTTTGCGTTCTCTCAAGGTATCCAGAATGGCATCACCCGAAGATGCCAGACCCTGCCCATCTGCACAACCCATTTCACGGGCTACTTGACAGACGTTGGCACCTTGCTCGGCTGGTGCGTTCGTGATGGTGTGACCGGTGAGAAGTTCTTGAAGGCCTGGCGGGTCATTTACTAATTACTGAAGATATGTTTGCCCCAAAAATTCCCCGACCACCCAGATCCAGACCACATGCCTTTTCTGTGCAAGGCCATGCTCTTTGCGGCGGGCATCTTTTTCTTCGGCCTCGGCGGCGTGGCTGCCAAGGAGTTGCACGAATCGTTCAGCGTGCAGGCAGCCCTCATCGCAGCTGCCCTGACGGCCGCAGTCGCGGGTGGCCTGGTCCCTGTGACCAAGAGCAAGACTGGCTGAAGGGCCAAGGTGTGAAGATTTCTGCACGCTGTAGTCAGTAGTATAATTAGGTGATTAGCCGCTAGTCGTTCGGACGTTTCTTTGAGCTTTTAAGGGTTACCTTGACCATCGAAGTGCCCATAGAAGTTAGGAACAGATGAAGCAAGATATGGAAGTGTGAAGGAGGCACAGGGTGAACTATCCGGTGCGATGGGTGACATTGATGGTCTTGGTGTTTTTCCATGTTCAAAAAGGTGGGAGGGACAAGCCCTCGCACCGCGCTTTCTGGGCAACTGTGGGCTTTGGATCCTTGCAGACCAGAGGGCACCGAAGGCGTTCACGCTTTCAAGACTCAGCTCTTGCGCGCAAAAAGAGAGACACATACACCATTCATTTGCCGCCTTTGCCTCCCATGGGATTTTGACCAAGTGACATTTGGAGGACTCCTTGGGTTGCAGTACTTATTCATGTCTTGTCGACTGGCAACTTGAGGGTTGTGTTTGCTGGAGTGAAGTCATCGTTCTGCTTAATATGTTTTGGCTTGTGGTTACATGGGCCTCTTCCTCTTGGGTCTCCATGTGTCCATATGAACACCCCCAAAGCGATCCATTCATCGTTACAGTTGGCATAGTAGTGCAGTTTCCCATGTGGTCAATATCAACATCTATCAATCTCTTAAAATCTCTTAAAGCTATATTGCGCATCATGCAAACATCCACGCAGTACCATCACTCCAGCTGACAGATCTCCTGAGCTTCTTCTGACAGGGTCCATGTTAGTTTGTATAGCATTTAAAGAGAAAAACATTTTTTTTGTGGCATTTTAGCCGTTGCCATGGTGTAGGCAGCACACATTGTCCCAGCATTTCGTCCCATTGCGTGGCTGAGGCGCCGCTAACTTCAAGAGCATCGAGGATTTGGCTTCATCAGTAGCTGAGGTGTGGGTAGCAACTAGGTGGGCCAACTTGGGTAGCGTAGGGAAAAATCTTAATATAGTAAGCTCCAAGATAGGTGAGCAACATACCCGTGAAAGATTTGTATATGACGGTATATGTATCATGTTCTAATTGTTGCGTCTTGCTATGTTTTATTTTGGAGCGTGTGAGAAATAGCAAATAAATATGATTCGCAGTCTTTCAGACCCGGCCATGCAAAAAGAAGATGTCAGATTTTTTTTTGGTGGGGGTCGCGCGTGTTATCGACGTGACAAGGTGGGGGTCACAATTTCAAGCAGTGGCATGCACATTTTTGACTCATAGCAGGCAGGTGTCTTATTCTTCAGCACAAGGCTGCTCGAATACACTGTAGGCATGAACCTTTCTCCCAGAAAGTCTACAAGCAACATATGATATTTCATCCAAAGATATGATTGTATACATTTATGAATATATGTCTCTGCATTTTCAATATTTAGACACGCGCTCATACATGAAATGCATTGTTTTGATGGGATTTGAGCTGGGTGCTTTTGCTTATAGGTGGCCACAGGCCAATCCAAAGCAGGATGGTGCTTTTTGCCAAGTAGCAGCCGGAAGGGCATGCACATGAAACTGTAATCCCATAGCCAGCTAGCAGATGGTGAGGAGAATCAAAGTAGTTGCCATGTTTCACGGTGAATGCTTTATTGTTTTGCAGCGCAGCTGGGCACAAACCATGGCTTGTGCATGTGTGGCTCCAAACACGTTATATAAAATTGCCTGCTTCTCTACTGAGATCATCAGCAAAACTCGGTTCTCATTAGAATCGCGGAATGCGTTTGTAATCATCCCGCTGTGTGCTTGGACATTAGTTTATCTTTCACAAGATGGAAAAACTTGCATCATTGACTGGCGCTATCACATGTCACACCCGATTTCTTCCCATATTACTCTGGGATCATGATCCTGATTGAAATTCGTTTTTGCGGGATGGGTGTTTCAACCCTCTGACAGTGTCATGGTCCTAATGTTTGTTTGTTCAGCCCCGGATTGTTGTTGGTTGAAATTCAACTCTGGTTTTTTAGGCATGCAAAATGATTGTTTCCCTCCCCTGTCAGGTGAGGAGGGCTCCTCCTTATTCCTGCTCCTCGCGTCCTGCAATGCAAACATCCAGACTTCGACAAATAGCTAGCTTGCGGACTTTTCTGCCCGACCTTGTCAGATACGTAGCTTGCTGACCTTATATTTTATCCCGGGCCACGTCACATGGCTAGCTAGCATGCAATTGCGTTTCCTGTTCCACCTTAAGTTTTTTCATTCAAGGTAAAATAAGTGAAAGAGAAAGAAACAGAGAAAGGGAAAGAGAGATAGAGAAAGAGAGAGAGAGAGGAAGAGGAAGAAGAAGAAAAACAGGAAGCTGAAGAGGAAGAAGAAGAAGATTAACAGGAAGAGGAACAGAGAGAGAGAAAGAGAGAGAGAGAGAGATAGAGAGAGAGAGGGAGGAAGAGGAAGAGGAAGATAAAGAGAAAGACATTTATAAGTTATATAAGACATTTTTTCTTCCGTTGGCTCCAGGATCAGCTCTGGAAAAATTTGCTGCAATTGTGAGCCCTGAGGACGCACCTACTAAAGTGAACTGGGCCCCCTCATGGCCCATTGCCTTGGAAAATGGTGGAAAAGCTGTTCTTTAATAAAGGTTTAATAAGCGGTCTGATTCTTTTTGAACTTGGCGATTGCTTTTGTAAAAGGCTTTTCTATGCTTTTCTTTTTTCTCTTGGCTCCAGGATCAGCCATGGAAAAGCTTCTGCAATTGTGAACCCTGAAAACAAACCTACTAAGGTGAACTGGGCCCTCTCATGGCCCAGTTCTTTGGAAATTTGTGGAAGAGCTGTTCTTTAATAAGGGTTTAATAAGCGGTCTGATTCTTTTGGAAAAGGCGTGCGCTTTGAACTCTCGAATTGCTTTTGTAAAAGGCTTTTCTATGCTTTTCTTTCTTCTCTTGGCTCCAGGATCAGCCATGGAAAAGTTTGCTGCAATTGTGAACCCTGAGAACAAGCCTGCTAAAGTGAACTGGGCCCTCTCATGGCCCAGTGCCTTGGAAATGTGTGGAAAAACTGTTCTTTAATAAGGGTTTAATAGGCGGTCTGATTCTTTTGGGACAGGGAGACAAACAATATTGTTTCAGAAGAAACGTTCAGAGTCTTTTTACACAAACATGTTTTTGGGCGAAAAAATTGTCTCGCAAGATGTCTTGCAACAATAGCGAACTTACCAATCACTGCATAGATTCAGAATAAATATGGAAAATGGCACAATAGCGAACCTAGTTCCTAATCAGGATACAACATTAATTCTGGTGCATAATTCCATATAAAAGCGCGTTTCTAATCAAAACCATAATAATTATTATTCTTAGTGTTCAGACCTGGATATCAGGCACAACTTGGCGTCAGTGAAACGCACTGTGGAGCAGCTTCAGTCCAAGGCGCGGCCAACACCACATGGAACGGGCAACCGCGCTGCTTGCTGGATTATCTGCGCCGAACGTTCCAGCATTGCCTGCGATGGTTGTTGGCGCAAGAAACTTTATGTTATCAGATTTGCGCAATCATTTTTGTTGGCTGCATTTTGTGGCCCCCAGTACATTTAGAAGTGAAGGCTTGCGAAATTCAAAGTCAACCATCCCGGTGGTCTCCGGAAGCGCGGGCAGGTGTCATTCTCTCTGCGAGGCCCGTGGGGGTGGTGTTAATCGCTGGATTGGTATAACCCCCAAAATCCTCCAAAGACTTTCAACCCGCCGATTATAGACCATATGTTCTTGACATTATTGTTTCCATGTGCATTTCAACATTAAGTTTGGAAGGACACATTGTCTGAATTGTATGGAGGTTCAAAGAAATAGTAATACACGGCAGTGCCCCCGACCAAGTGGTTTTCAAAAGTCCAAAGAGCTGAGTATTGAAGACCCAGTCTAATTAATCTCATATCTAATCCACCGACGTTCCTTCCATGTGGGGTCATTGAAGTATGGCGAAGTATGGGGTAAGTTTGCAAATGCAGGTGAGCACCCGCTCCTTACACCAACTGTGCTGCAAACCAGCGTTGTTCAGCCCAGCCACGAAACATCAACAATTCCCTGTGCAAATTTGTGGCAACATGCGCCAATCACCATGACTGCGCTTGGCTCAAGCGTGCAGCTTCTAAGTAACCACACCTTAAATAGAAGCGACGCCACGAACAGCGACGACCACCACGGTGACTCGCCCCACTTTCACCTTTGGCCGCGCCGTGGCTCGGATTCTTGCAAGAGGATTTGTTTCTTGCACACAGCCACATAGCTTGTCCATTTCGGGAACCTAAGGCGTGTTTGTTTTTGAATAAAAGGTCCCCCTGCAGTGAGTCCAAGGTGAGTCAGATCACATGGCGTTGAGGCATACCGTTCGCCTGCGGCTTGGCCTTGTTTGATTGCTGGATTTTCTTTATTGTTTGGGTTTTGCGAAAGCGGAACCATTTTTTGTGAGGGGAATTGTGTTTTGGATTTTCCCCTCTCCACTTTATTATTTTTCTGCTGCTCTACTTTAATTACCAAAAAACAACAAGAAAAGCAAGGACAGCAAGAGCACGAACAACAAAAGCAACAATAGCAACATAACAAGGACAGCCACAAAGGCAACTTAGGACCAAAGCTAGAAAGAAGTTCTCTCGACTACGACTACGAAGACTACTATTGCTACTACTAGTACTACTACTTACTACTACTTGCTACTACTTTCTACTAACTTACTACTAACTTACTACCTAACTTACTACTCCTTACTTCTACTTACTACTACTACTTACTACTTACTACTTACTACTTACTACTTACTACTACTTACTACTACTTACTACTACTTACTACTACTGACTACTACTTACTACTACTTACTACTACTGACTACTACTGACTACGACTTACTACTCCTTTCTTCTAATTACTACTACTTACTACTACTTACTACTACTTACTACTACTTACTACTACTTACTACTACTTACTTACTACTTACTACTACTTACTACTACTTACTACTACTTACTACTACTTACTACTACTTACTACTAC